GCACAAAATGATAGTTTTACAACGCTGTAGGTGCCGTTGGTGTCTTTTGTGTAGCAACAACAAAAATCAGATTGTCGATTGGCCGTTCTATATTTTAAAGTTTAGTGTCCGATATTTTGAATATTTGATGACGTCACTATCCATTATCCAAAAAGACAATTCCCGGGCCTATTCGAATTTACTAACATAGGAGCCTATTAATAAACTAGCAGTAAATTAAAACTTTCGGGTCCTCTGTACATAAACCTCAGAAAAGATTTTGTATTTTTTCTAGACCAGCATTTACGCAAATAAACAAAAACGCGAAAACACAGAAGCAGTCCTTTGTCTACTAACTTAGCGATGCTTTATTAGTAGGTTGTCATGCGCGCACCTGTATGTCACGTGATTTTTTGAAATATGTTTTTGTCTTTGTGCTCGTGCTTGCTGGTCTTTATAATTAATATGATGTTGGATACTCAGCTAATTATTAAATAAAGTTATTACTTTATAAAACTTTGAATTAATTTTGGTGCTAACTGTGGGTATTTCGTCATGTAGACATATTTTTTCGACGTAAATGTTTGGTAGATTTGTGTAGTCCGCTGGGCAAACGGCAATTAACTCCAAAATTAAGTAAAGTTATTAAATATAAATTGCTAATACTTAGATCCCACCCAATTGTATTGAAACTTCCAGTTCGAAGAAACACGTGCACCACAATTAGTTAAGATAAAAAATAACTACGATTTCATGAAAACTATAATGGAATAAAAATCGTTTTTGGAGTTTCCTAAGTAAGAAATACATGTTTATACATCAATGCCTGACCACATCACAGGCACGTAAATCACAATGGATCTTTACTAAATTTGATATACTTGTGAAGTGTAAGGTATCATTAATTGACACTGACTGGAATTACCGGTTGATTGTCCCATGAATTCACAGAATTGCTTATGTATGACCGATTTTGCCTTAAGAGCGTTTTTCTCCTGCTGTTATAACATCGATCTCAGGTTGAGCGTTTCAGAATTGAACCAGTTACATACCTGAATAATAACAATTGTTGGAATATTTGTATAGTCATACAGTCGGTCAAAGAATTGCTAAAGCACATAAAAGAGAAAAAATGCAACAAACGTCTAATCTCTAGATAAGATTGCATCTCCAGCTTTCTATAAAAGTCCATATGAGACACAACGTCTTTGTTTAAAATTTACAATGATGAAATTTAAATCAAGAACACCAAAACAAGTTCATTGATTATCTGAGCCTGACAAAACTAGTACAACAGGATTAATGAAAACGGCAGTTAAAACGTGGCATTATTGAAATTTAATAATCAATATTCTTTCACATCGAACTTAAAGTCCAAAATAGCGGCCGTTTAATAAAAAAGCACAAGCACCGATTTCTAAGAAACAGGTGGAGAAATAAATTTGAATCCTTTGTAACGGCACCTAAAACCGTGAAGGTAGATTAGGGATTTCTTTTAAAGGTAACACAGTAATGGCTATCAAATAGCCTCTTCGAAAGTTTTAAGTGGGTACCTGTCGTGACAGGCTTTTACTAACCACCACGTGACGGAAAACACACGGCATCTGGAGGTTAGTAAAAGCCTGTCCATGATGATACTTGCAGTGCCACTCAGAGCCTTAAATCGCAAAGAGTACTGCCACTGTGCTTGTCACCCTAAGACATAAAGTTGATAAATCCCATGTGCCTGCAACTTCTTCCTTACCCTTCAAAATCGGAGTGCAGTAATGCTCACACTACTGCTTGGCGGCAGAAATCCAAACTAATGTTATAAATACGAATGTAATTCCATTTGTTACGTTTAACGCCGCTGAATTTAGAACCTAGGAAAAGGGCATAGGCTACTTTTTGTTATAGAAGTAAATTTTAAAGGGTGTGAAGTTAGGGGTGAAAGTTTGTATGGAGAACCAATAAAACTATGAAAATTAGTATAATATAGTAGTCGCGAAACACCAGCTAGTAGGTACATATATACACATTATGTTGGTGAAATAATTATATACATATCGCTTTAGCTTCTTGCAACAACGAATGAACGAACAAGGATGAATTCAAGGAGGTTAATTTTAATAATTTTAATATTCGTAAATATGAGTTCACCAAAGCCAATATGACGACTGAAGCAAGTCACAAAATCAAAGCAAATGATCCAACTTTAAGTATCCCTATTGATTGCCGCCATTACTAAGTTACGTATTAATTACTATTACCAATAATGTATTTTTGATAAGTTAATAGTATTTTAAAGCGACTATTTTCAGATACTTACCTAAAATAAAACGGTAAGTACTTTAGATGTTTAATTCAGTTCGTAACAAAATCACTTTAAATTGGAATATCACGAAAAGGTTCTATCAATGCGTATATGATAATGTTTGGCTGTCGAACGTCTACAGACTCACGCGCGATGAGTCACATCACAACTTCACAAGTCATAATAAAGCACTCCTCGGTAAGTGTGACGTTTCTCGGTGAGATGGAATTCCCCGTTCAGCTCTCAAAGCAGTCATGATTGCATTATCACATTTATTTTATTCACAATAATTTTTCATTGGATACGTTGCGGTGAAAAGGAAACATTTTTAATAAAATAAAATTAGCCATTTACTCATGTCTCATGTATATTAATGTCGCAAGTTATTTTAAATTAAGAAAAAAGTAAACTTACATCAGTGCGTGCACCACCTAAAATAGTAACCGCTGTTTTTTCTTTGTTAAAATATGTAAACTTTAGGATTCACAATAATTATGTTTTTGTTAACAATTTCGTCTCAATTTCGACATTATAAAGTTGTATTATCATTATATAGCAAAACGTAAAAATGTAGGTTCCATCGTTTTCCGTATTGTATCACGTTTGGGGCAAACCGCTTTTTATAACGAGTATACTTCGTCAAAACTAAGGTAAATCAATATTTATAACGTTTACCTGTTATGAGTTACAGTTATAATGAACAGATATATACGAATTGTATTATGTTATTCTAAAATCATAATAAAAACCTGTACACAAATTCTAATGTGGTAATTAATTTTTTTTCCGTAATGGGGAAACAACGCAATGTTTTCATAATCAGTTACAGGTTCATCGATTATAAAATCTTGGGAATTTTATAATAATCAATAATATGTAATACAAAGCATGCCTTTGTGAATAAAGCCAAGTCAATATATGATACTTGTATTATTCTAGATAATAGCTATCATACAAGATAAATGTAGATATTACATGATTGATTACCTAATTTTATATTGGTAACGAAAATTAAAAGAGACTACAAACTGCATATATGAGAGCGAGTAATTAGTTTACAAATCAGTATAGACCAGGACAAATTTAGACAAAGTCCTACCACATGGAAATCCACACTACAAATGCGAAACAACCGAGAATATTTTGGAAAGATTTTGTACATAAAATCAGAAATTTAATAACTACTAAATTAAAGTAAGGTATTTCGAATTAATAAAAAGGCTCGTCGTAATTGATTGTAAATCCGATACGTTAAAACGCTTGTCGTAATATTTGAGGAATCTTTAGTTACGAGAATTTTGGAGGACGACCTCATAAACGAAAAAGGCAGGTGACGTGACGTTTCTATATACGTTTGACGTTGCAAATGATTTCATAATATGTTTTGGGTTCGCGGGTATTTTCTACAAAAAAAAATATAACAAAATGCAAAAAGTTTGTTATTGTTATGAACATGATACTCTTGTAAATAGTTTATCGATTACAGCTTCGACATTATATTACATTCCAATCCAAACAAAGTAACACGTGCATTAACGATTGGTTTTTAAACTGTACCTTAATATAAGTAATTTTCAAATTAAATATTAAACTAATCACCTTTGTTCAAAAAAACGTTAGTAAATACAGTACCTATTATGTATCCAACACGATTAATATATCCATGTCATTTTTATTTAATTGATTTCCCATAATTAAGCTGGGTTTGAACACTACGTATACTTTTGACTGAAGTCACCGTTTATCATTAATGCATTCCAAATTATTTAAACATTAACAACAGAACGAACGAAACGATAAGAAATTTGTCGTTGTAATCAAATCAAATTATGAATGCGTGACTTTAAATAAAATTGTAACAAATAGTTATTTAAAAATAATTCAGATTAGTTATTTTATTCTCCTATTTGTTAATTATAAATTTTATTGAAACTGCATCTCAATAATAAATAAGCAAAAACTAATCCTATATTCTTGTAAATGAGCACTTATCCCATGCTTAGCATTCTATGTGTTCTATACAATACCACAAATCAAAAAATTTAGAACAAGTCGTATTTCATTACTTGGCACCCCTATATAGTATAAAGGTTTAGAATGCTGGGATCTAAATATTATAAACTGAGAACTGACATAAGTCAGAATAAATTCAGGATCATTTCATAAAGATACGCCATAAATATTTATTGATGAATTTAACTAAATCAACCGTTGAAACAATACCCGAAAAAATATACTATTACCCTGATGTGAACTAAGTGTTAAAAAGTAATGCCACTATGGACATTTCTTATCACAAACAAAAAATACGAATTAATATAGTTTTATTAGTGAATAATATTTCCTTTATGATAATGTACAACGTAAAAAGATTTGTACGTGACTAACAAAAACTCTGTATAATTTTAATAATTTTATTTGTTAAAAAAATCATAAAAATGTAAGGATTTTACCTAGTAAGCTAAACAAAACATTTTACATCTTGTAGAAGGTCAGATGGTGTGGAGGATGAAGGGATTGGGGATGCTGAGGCTGTTGCGGGAATCGAGGGAAGGTGGGCGGGGCGCGCGGGGCAGCCATAGTGACGCATGCGCGACGAAAGGCACTGCGGGGTGGGAGGCGCGCGCCTAACACTATTTAAACTGTTCTTGCGAACGGTCATCATGCATTGGTCTGTTTGCAATCAGAAGTTTAGTTAGCTATAGTAATACGACAGCTCGAGCCAAAGACAGACTGGCATTAGCCCGTGGTCAAGACGCCCAGCTCTCGCAGACTTACGCTAGCTAACCGTGCAGTGAACCCCGCGTTCAGGCCCTATCGAACCCAGTGGAGTGTCGTGAAGCCATGGCCGTCGCCGCTGCCCAGAAGAATCGCGAGATGTTCGCCATCAAGAAGTCATACAGCATCGAGGTGAGGAGCTCGCAGTTTCGGGCCGTACCTGTAGCCCTGCTTCTCTTTGCTTGCTAGCCAGGACAAACTTTCATACCTAGATTTTGTGGCCGGTCAGCGATAAAGGATTTTATGTTCACGTAATTTGAGTGATATACTAGAAAAGTTTAACAAATAGTCATTAACATCGTTTTGTTTGTCTGCACACTGAATAATATTTTAAAAAGTGATGTACGAGTGACCGACCATAAAAATTTAATACTTTTACGATTTAGAAGTAGCGTTGTCCCAACTTCATCTTCAACTTCAAAACTCTTTAATATTGCCTAATCTAACAACTAATTAATCATTATCAAACTGTCGGTAGGCTTTAATATTAACATTTATTATAAATTTGCATAGGATATTGTTTAAAATAATCAAATTATTTTTCAACTTTTTGACGAACTGGTAGAAGTACCTTTAATGCATTGTGTTGACAGTAATTATAAACAAACACAACGCGTCCTCAATAAACCAGTTAAGTAAAATTATGCAATAATATACGAATAAAAAACGCGATTATATTGAAAATTACAGATTACTAAGCGTAATTATGGCATAATAAGTTCAACACGCTATAAAGTAAATAGAATGAGAAATCTCAAAATATTAATATAATATAATATTATTAAGTAACAAATAATAAGCGATTAGTAGATTTATGCAAATAAATGTTTTTCACCATATTTTAGGTTTTAGAAATCGTCGTATGGTTGTAAAAAGCGTACGTTCTTTTTGTTGTCATTTATACACAGTCGTAATAGGTACCACAATTAGTCGGCTGCTAAGATTCGTGACTATCTGCGGGTTGACCTCTGTGCTTAGTGCACGTCACCTGCATAATCGCCATTACCTACTTGTTACTTGTCAAATCACATATCGGCCTTGTCCAACTGCTAACGATGCACGCAGCACTAAAATAACACATTATGACTGTGAAACGTACCCACTGTTAATTGATAAAAGATATAAGATATATTCATAAATAACTGTACTAAAAAAAAGCTGCATTGGACATCCATTGCACATTGCACATCCATTGCACGACGCAGGAAGAACGCTAAAGAAATCGTGTGAAAGTGTGGTGGATGTGAGGAATACATTCATGTATTAATTCGCAAAATAATGTTTTCACTGATAATTCATCAGTTAATTTATTAATAAAAGTCTCGTCCGAACTTTTGCGCGGACTCGAGACTCGCTTAATGTTGTTATTCCAAAATATTTTGGCATCATTAAGTCACATTTAAAGCCTCAGCACACTTTCTCAACAAGGGATATCGTGTGATAATTACGCAATTGTCACGGAACAATAATTAAAAATATGTATTGAAGTGATTGTTGAGGAGCCCCGTCGGCGTCAAACATAACGCGAGCAGTCGTAATCGGCGCGTAATCGCAAACATTTCGCTCTCATTACAGTACCGCTGCAGATAACCTCCGCTAATTATGAATCTCATCATTGTCTACTACCAAATTAATTAACATTGTCAATATTCAAGGCGTCGGTGTCGCAGCAATTACCTCATGATGAAGACTATGTTGCAAATTATGACTCTATTATTACCTCAACAATTTTCCATGGCAATTTCATTCAATACTGTAGATCATGAAAGCTGCTGCGAACTTGGTACTTTTGCGAACTTTATAAACAAAAAACAATTTTTGTTTTAATAAAATAATTTCGATACATAAAATAAATTCATTGTGTACAGACTATGATATGCAATGCGATAATGTTATACTTTTTAATAGATTTGCTGTGCGATAATAAGGTTGTTGTAGTTGTTGTTAATATATAATTGACACCTATATGGCTGTATTTCCTTGGCCGTCGAAGGTCATAATGCTAGGCACCGCGACACTCAGCGGCCGCTCGGTAATGAGTAAGAACCCGAGTCGCGCTGCCTACCACTGCTTTGTCACCCGAAAGAACAACCGTGTATGTAATACATTAATAATGATAAACAAAGACATTTTCCTCTATGCAAACAAGAATTCAATAAGAACTATGTTTATAACAAACTCGAGGTCGAAACGTTGCGCCCTTGACCAAACGAGATTCTTCGCGGTCAGATTCAGAATCGGAAAAAACATTGAAGTTACCGCTTTTATCATAAAATAGTTTAAAATTTGATATGTAAATATGTTTATGTTGATTTGATTGATTAATTGGAGTAGGCTGTGAAGAGGTTCGAGGACGGGCTGGATAGCCGGGCACAGGTCGTTATGTGGCACTCTCGACTCTGGTTAATTAAACGTCGGCCGATTGGAACGGTGAAGTGACCACTCGGGCTCACCAAGGCTAAATCAACCGGATTCCGAATCCTGCCCGGTCCAGTTAGGCAGACCTTTACATTACCGCTTGACACTGGTGTAACTGTTTCCGCAATTTCGATCTGATGGTCATAGTGGACAATTAATTGCAAATGTCGTTCAATGTATGCAGATTTTCTTTAAACCTTCTTTGCAGGAATTGACGTAATCGGCTATTAGGCAGTTGATCTGTTCGAAAATTTTGGACAGAGTCTGAGTATTTATGCGTCTTTAAAGAAAGTTTTATTTTGTTGAAATGTTTCTTCAAACAAAATATTTTATTATTAAATTAAGGTCCTGATTGTGTCGCAGTTTCAGGAGTTAAGCAACAAAGCGGGTAATTAGCGCAACCCTTGACACACATAGGTACGCGCGGGCACTCTAGTGGAAAATGCTAGGTCTTACCGCCCGCGCCCGCGCCCCCGCAGCTTGTCTTTGCACTTTGCTTTGATGCTATAACAAAAGCTACCATACGATATATCTCAACACTAAAACATGAGATTTATCATCGCCACTGTTCCAAGTATATCCACTGAGAGTCTTTATTTCGACTCATAAAAACTTTAACTACACTTCATACTCAAAAAATGAGTCTCCATTCTAATCATGTCTAACACTTAATTAATGCTTTCGACCTAAATAATAATTTGAAAATGGAATGTGTATATAATAAGTGTTTGCTTTTGAATGTAGATATTAGATTTCATGACTTTGGTAACGTTTTGTCATAAACGCGTAATTGTTAAGAGGCGAGACCTTCAGAACAAATATTAATAATATTCTTTTAACGTGAATATGCAGTTAACTACATTTGGTCATTAAAAGGTTATTATCACGTTACATTGTATTCAGTCAATACAAAACATCTTCTTAAAAGTTTTTTTTTATGAAAAAAAGTTCGGAAATGAAAAGTATTGTTCAGACAATTCCACTTTTCATTCAAAAGGCGTGCAAGACTAAAAGCGAAATTCTTAGTCTATGAAGTTAGAACTTTAATTGGTTCCATTCGGGCGCATTGGACCCGAAAGACGGTCTCTTTGAAAGATTTTGCCGCGAGATGTCGTTTCCGCAGCGCGGGGGCGGGTAATGGCAGCACTTTACTCCGGCCGCACACAGGAAATAAGCTTAGGAACTTCGTAAAAGCAATTTCTGCTCTCATATGAAATATAACGCGATGTGACCGCTTTTTATTTATAAGGATTTAGTAGATCAACCTATTTTTAGAGCTCCTTTTGTGAGAAAATTTTACGACTTCCTTTCTGCTCTATCTGTATTGTGCCAAGGTATTTTATTCTTTCAACGCGCTGCAAACAGCGTGTTATTTAATGTAAATTTATGAAATCAAATCAGAATAAATTATCCGTCATAAGTTAAATGGAATTTATTGTCACTCCAATCAAGACATGGAATAGAACAATAAATAGTTCGGTTTATCGCCTACTCACAAATTAAGATGAAAAAATATCATTATTTCATAGGTAATCAACTTATATTTGAAATCGTCACATCAATTAAACACTACTACCCATTCGTCAAATCATAATCAAATGAATGATACGGAGATATTTAAAGAATACTTTTAAATCGGCTAGTCTATTATGACAGGTTTTAGTCAATTAACGTACAAAATACAGTTACCTATAATTAACTTTCCGACAAGGAAAGTCGTTAACTGTTTAAAAACATCACTGGCGACATTTAATTTGATACAAATATTTCTTTTTAGAAAGATGTTACATTTAATTATAATATAAACGTCATTTTATTTATTTCAATAAAGGTAATATTGGAAATAAAACTATTTTTCCGGATTTAAATCACGTATGTTTATTTTTTCAAACAAACCGACGTTTCGGGCTCTTTACAGATCCCATGGTCACGGTTGACCAAAAAAACCGGTAATGATATTCTTTTGGGATATCGATCATTCTGTGTTTCTAACTGAAAACGGTTCAATGGTGAGTTTTTAATTAAAGTATTAATTTCAGAACGGCTACCCATCCCGCCGTCGCTCTCTCGTCGACGACGCAAGGTTCGAGACTCTAGTTGTAAAACAGACCAAGCAAAGTGTGCTTGAGGAGGCTCGTGCCCGCGCTAATGGTAAGCCATATTATATTATTATGCTAAAATGGATGCCACCGACCGATGACCGGGCGAAATGGCGCACATTGGGAGAGCCCTATGTCCAGCAGTGGACTGCGATAGGCCTGATGACGATGATGATGAAATGCAACTCATACATCCAATTTGATTCGAAAGTTTTCAGATTACATTGAGTTTTTTAAATGTTATTTTTATTTCTTTTATTTATTTCGTTCTTTTGTTTTAAATAATGTAGACTCTGGTTTGGAATCCGAATTCGTCCAAGAAGGTCACATTGGCAAGAGTGACAAAGCCACTACTGTCGAAGACGGCATCTATCAGGACGAAACCAAGAATGGTCACCTGGGTAAATTGCCTTCTTGTATTCGAAATATTTGTTTTATTTTGCTTTATTTGCGGTAATTTTGTTTATTTCTTTTTTTTTATTTTCTCTTTTAGCCGATGCTGAAATTAGCGATGACCGAGAAAAAGAGGGCGATGGTTAGTATTGTTATATTAATTACCTATTTTCTCCATCCTAACAAATTTTTTATTGTAACTTCTATGGTAGACAATTAACAGATATGTTTGCAAATATGCGCATCATCAATAGAAAAAGTGTAAATTATAACTACATATCCTTAGGTATGGTGTGATTTTCTGGGGTAACTCTACCTACAGAGAAACTATATTTAGAGCCCAAAAGCGATGTGTCAGAGCCATATGCAACATTAAATACACTGACAGTTGCCGATCATTTCAAAAACGTTGTAAAACGGTCCTATACAAAAATAGCGTTGTTGACATGGCACCCAAAATATTTAATAAAATTCCAGACGCAATAAAAAAATCTTAGTGGATGCATTCCATTCAAGCATGTATTAAAACAATTATTAATTGACAAGTGTTACTATAGCATAGAACAATATTTTAATGACAGTTTCTTAGAATAGGTAAATGCTGACAGTTGGGTACCATTTAGTTATTAATATTTTTAGACTTTTTAATTATTATTAGTTTTTTGACATTGTATCTATTTTTCTTTTATTTTTATTTTGACATTACATTTTTATTTAATTGACTTCGTATGCCACTTTGGCTTATTGCAGAGATTCCATAAAATTATTATTACCATCTATATTATGTACCTGTAATAACGAATGAATAAATGAATTGTATTGAATTGAATTGAATTGAACATGAGACGTTATGTGTTACGAGTACATAAAATAATAATTTCGTGCAGATTACACACTGACCGAAGAGGAAGTGATCCTGCAAAATGCTGCTGGCGAATCTCCAGAAGCGGAACAGGCGATTCAAGAAGCCGCTTTGTTGCTCCGTATGCGTGACGGAATGGGATCACTGGCGCGCATCCTCAAGACCATTGACAACTATAAGGGGTGCGTCCAGCACCTCGAGACTCGCCCCTCTCAAGCTACTGGCATCCAGTTTGACGCTCTTGTGAAAGTGAGCATGTCTCGCATCAACCTGCTCCAACTTATCCGATCTTTGCGACAGTCCACCTCTTTCGCCGGAGTTAACCTTCTCTCTGAGGACAACATCACAACTAAGACCCCGTGGTTTCCTCGGCATGCTTCGGATTTGGACAATTGCAACCATTTGATGACCAAGTATGAGCCTGAGTTGGATATGAACCATCCAGGATTCGCCGACAAGGAATACAGGGAGCGCAGAAAGGAAATTGCTGAAATTGCTTTCGGCTACAAATGTGGAGACCCGATTCCATCCATTACATACACCGAGAGCGAGAACGCTACCTGGCAACAAGTTTTTAATACCGTTCTCGACCTGATGCCCAAGCACGCATGCCAAGAATACAAGGCCGCGTTTGAAAAATTGCAACAGGCTGACATATTCGTGCCGCACCGCATCCCACAGTTGGACGACGTAAGCAACTTTCTGCGGAAACATACCGGATTCACACTGCGCCCTGCGGCTGGTTTGCTAACTGCCCGCGACTTCCTCGCCTCGCTCGCCTTCCGTGTGTTCCAGTCTACCCAATATGTGCGCCATGCTAACTCTCCATTCCACACACCCGAACCGTAAGTATTAAGATAAATATTTGCTTTACGTATCAATAAAATAACCTTAGCAAAGTTCAGCGTGCAAAGGAATATTAGTCTTTTATAAAGCAGTTGTTCAATATTTCAAGAATTATATGTCTAGGGTTAGTTTCTGCACGGAAATTATTTAGGCAAGTTAGTTTGTTGGTGTTACGTAATTTGAGTCAAATCATTCTAAAATACAGATTGAACTAATTAATCAAGTGCAAATTAAAGTGTTCAATGTCACGATTTTGCTTAGGGTTCATTGAAAAAACATAACTCCAATGTAAATTAATACCTACGAGAGACGGATCGCGGCGATGATGGAACTCTAACGTCGTTAAATTGCTCGACTAATATATTTAGGCTCGCTTACTCCGGGCTCTTGCCGGACAAAGTTTTATCAAGGGACACTTTTATTCAATTATTCATCAACTCTCCTTGCTAACTGCCAGGCAACCAAAATTGCGCTGACCTATGGGTCTAGAGTTAGGCAAACTTTTATGTATAGCGACGCTGCGATATTGATGTTATGATATTGTAACAATAACTGTTTTATTACAGTGACTGCATCCATGAACTTCTTGGACACATTCCCCTGCTTGCTGACCCCAGTTTTGCTCAGTTCTCTCAAGAAATTGGTCTGGCATCTCTTGGTGCCTCGGACTCTGAAATTGAAAAACTATCCACTGTAAGTTTTGCTCAATTGAAAGTTCTTTTAACTATAGTTATTTATTATATTGTCATCTATGTCATTTGCTGTTACGAATATTGCCTTAATATCGAAATAATTTAAGTAACCCATTTACGTAGCAAAATGTATTGAAATGTTTCTATCTATGCGCAGGTGTACTGGTTTACTGTAGAATTTGGATTGTGCAAGGAGAACCACCAACTGAAGGCTTACGGTGCCGCACTTCTGTCTTCCATTGGAGAGCTGCTGCATGCTCTGAGTGATAAACCGGAACTTCGACCCTTCGAACCTGCTAGCACCTCTATTCAACCCTATCAAGACCAGGAATATCAGCCTATTTACTATGTTGCTGAAAGTTTCGAAGATGCTAAAGACAAGTTCAGGTAAATAAAGTTGTACATTGCAAAGAAAATATCTCTATGTAGGATTATTAATTAAATTCATTAATTTGTTTTCTACCAGACGTTGGGTGTCGACCATGTCGCGACCATTCGAGGTGCGCTTCAATCCCCATACAGAGCGTGTCGAGGTGCTAGACTCCGTGGACAAACTAGAGACCCTCATCTGGCAGCTGAACACTGAAATGCTGCACCTTACTAACGCCGTGAAGAAGCTGAAGGGCTCACATTTTGAGTAATCGCCCTATCTATAAACACATCAATGGTTCAGTGCACGCGGCCTTGCCGCATTCTGTATAGCTAGTGATACTATTTTGATTTAAGACTCGACGGCGTGTGTGGAGTGTGAGTGTGAGTGTGAGTGTGAAAGCCATCGGATGGTACTTCGTTAAACTCCCTTTTTTGTACCTTATTGTATTATTTATTATGCCGAGCTCATTGCCCGGGTCTCGGAAAGTGCACGGATCTCCTGATTGCCCATTTGCGGAGGCTGTGTCCCTTTTTCGAGTCCTATTATTATTAGTATTAATTTATAATTTAAAGAAAGACACAAAGAAATAAAAAATGGAGCACCAAAAATATTAAAAAAATCAAACAGAAAATATACGTGTTTGAGTGGATTTGGAAGTTTCATTTATTTGTGAGATGCAAACCCGACCCATATTATTATTCAACAACATAACGCGACAAGCCGTAATTTGCCATGGAAATGTTTTCAAAAAAATGCACAAAAGTTAATAGGAATATATTACAGCCACGACCATAATTCTAAATATATATCACGTGTACAATGAGTAAGTATTACGGAGTCGCGTTCTGGTGGTACAGAGAAAATGTCACAATAGACAAATTTCCCAAAAAATAATTATCGTATCCTCAGAATGTCATACGCGACGCCGTATAGTTATGTGTTTATTATTTATTATATTATTCATATGAAAATGATACAGATGTGGTACTACTATTATTTCTTTAATGACGACCAGGAAGTGGACATAATTCGGATGTAACTAAATTTCAAGATGTTGATATAATTTGGACTTTGATTAAATACATTATTTTGTCACTGAAATTACATAACAATGCGTGTCGTTACCTTGTACAAAGTACAAAGTGTCAAGCTTGACGTGCCTTTGGCTGTATAATAATTGGCGTTTTCCAAAGAACATAAATAACAAATATCATGTAGGTACTACCATTTACCGTAGCCACCTACATAATCCACATTAAATATCCGCCACTCACCTTCTAACGATTCTCAAATGCAGAAAAGGTAAATTAAAATGAAAATAGCTCCAATAATAAAATCAATCATCAAGAAGGGATAATAGAGTACAGCTCGCTCGTCTCTCCTACCTGTAATAAGATTTGCTCGTCTCCGAGGAAATCTTTCCAACCTAATCGGATTAGACAATATTCAACGTTAATTGTTGGTAGTATACTCCTACCAACAATTTATGCAAATCAATATGAACTCGATACAAATTTTAATTAAATCTGACATTGAAAAGGCTGTTGTATTCTTAAAGTTAATAATAATCGTTTCCATGTGCAAGGTACTTCCTTACGTAATTATAGCAATTTAAACCTTCTAGATCTGGTACAAATTTCCTGATATTGGAACAAAGAGTTCGTTTCGTGTAAAAAAGCTAGCGTAAGTAATGTAAACACGTTCCGCTGGATGAAGAGCGTTCCGTACCGAAAGAGAAAAAAATGTAATAATAAAAAGGTGTCCACCAGCGCAAAAAGGTCAGTGTTGAGCGTTAACATTAAAATAGACAAGAGAACAGGTGTGGCCTTAGCACGCGTAAGGGTGGCGCTCTTCTTGTGGTGAGATAAGCGTATCTAGTGCGAACAAAGTCAAGCTATCTCGAAGCTAAGTACTTAAGCTAGAGCCTGGAGCATACTTTTTAGAACTATCACAAAGAACAGTTTTATTTCTCAGGAACCAATCAACAGGTCGAGTTGGCCTTTTCTTTAGTTTAGGGTACAAATAAGGTATACATTTTTGTAATAGTATAATATAATACTATACGTGAGGCGCACTATAAGTTTCCGGAATGAATAAGAAAAAAATACTATAAATGGTTAGAAACGAATTTATTGTTAGCGATTACGCACTTTTTCATACGAATCAACCAATTTTGAAAATACTTATGCCAGTCCTCCGCGATAATTTCTGAAACATATTTTTCGTACTCTTCGACAGCCTCTTGAGGTGATGAAAATCGTTGACCGCGTAACTGGTTCTTAATTTTTGGAAATAAGTAAAAGTCACTAGGTGCCAGGTCGGAACTGTACGCGGGATGGCTCAAAAGGTCAACGTTGTTCACCTTCAAAAATTCATTTGTCTGTCTCTCACTGAGATTCACACGACCGCGTTTGAATTCTACAAACCAGCTATAAATAGTCGTCTTGCTTGGTGCTTCATCGCCAAAAACAGTTTAAAGCCGAGCGAAGCTCCGCTGTGGTGTTAAATTACACTTAAAGTCGTAGAACATCATGCTACGCAAATTTTCACGAGTTAAATACATGGTGATGTAGACAACCAATTTCTAAAATGACGCCACAATGTAAAAACAAGTGACAGTCAGATGAAACAAACTGTATTCTACAGCCAAAGAGTGCCATTTTGAAATGTTCTAATTATTTTTTAAATATTATTTATGTAAGTGGCTAGTTCCGGAAACTTATAGTGCGCCCTATGTACTAGTACCGGTACCCCAATCTCATACAAAATGTCACACTCGTAACTCCGCTTATTCGGACTCTTTTGATTCTCAACGCTGATCAATAGATGCTACCTAGTAAACCCGCGATGCGACTGTAATAATACTTAATAAGGCCAACAGAGGCAGCAATTACATTTTCGTCAAGGTTATCCCTACTGTTCAAGTGTTGATTATATTATATCAATAACATACAATAAAAACGCAAAAAAGCTGAGTCTGTAATATTAGTATTTTAAGTTAACTAAGTTTCGAAACTAAATTAAAAGAAATGCCATCTATACAATTTAGTGCAAACTAAGAAATAAAAAAGTATTGACAAACCTACAATTTCTTATCTTTCCATCGACAGTTTTCACCATTTACTTAAATAATGGTAAATGAATTTGAATTGAAGATTCCTAAGTGTTGTTAAAATGTTTTGGATTTGTTTTTTCATATTTTAAACTTCTTATTTAGTATGACATACCTCAAACTACCGACATTCAATACTTTATTTTTTTTTATCCAAGTTACGCCATCTACACTCTCTAGGATTCACTTCGTCTCTCTCCTACTGGCAAGCTCGGCACGACTAAGCACGAGCTGCCAATCCGGCTATTATGATATTTGAGTCCGAAGGTATTATCGTCTTATAGAGTTTGAGCTCTCCTTGCTCCGTGACAGTGATCTAACCAACATGATTGCGATGAGCACACGGTAATTTTGATAAAGTCAAAATGTTTTGAGCGTTGAAACTTGAATTTAATGCACTTAAGTAATATCGAAGACGACAATTGACGTTCAATCACATCCCAAAATATTGCTCTTTGTATTTATCACGCATATATGTAGTTATAGTTTGCGATATGGACTACTGCTCTGGAGAAAGGCTGCTGTAACCATTGTAACACATAATTTGTCACTATTTAAAACCCAGAGGAAATGTATCAATGCCATGTTTGGTGTGTGTCAGCGAAAAAGTTGCGTTCCTCACTTAAGGAAACTAAAAATAAACTAAAGACAAAATGGTTAATAATACCCTACTATCAATGTATATTTATGAGGCCTGTGTTTTTGTCAAACAAAATCTAGGCAACTTTAATTTAGTTAAAACTAGACATCCTAGAAACACAAAGATTAAAATAGAAATATATCCCAAACAAATCCATAGTTTTACTAAAGATCGATGTTTGTATTGCCACCGAAATTATTTATTATATTACTGGAGGCTGTGAAGGAATTAAATTGTAAATAATTTACAATGAAATGGCATAATTTGTTAGTTACTCAACGCTATTAAAATATTGATGATTTTTACTTCATAGTATAAAATGTAAAATTTCACTAATGTTTGTTGTATTTTTGAGTTCCTATTTTATAATAATATACCTAATTAACTAGTAATTGTTGTTTATGCCATCGTACAAATTTAATTTTAAATGCATTCTATATCAAAAATGCAAAGGAAATGAGTAACTTTTGGTCAAATGTACGATCTTAAAAAATAAGATACTATAACTCCTTCATTGTTAACAACATTTTTCAGCGAATAAACATGTTGTTTTCTTAAATAACTACGCAATTACTTCTAATTCAGGGGTTGTGAAACGGCCGATTTAAGCGAATTTATTTTACATTATAATCAGTATACACCAGTAGCAAAATTAAGTATGGAGCAGTGTCCGAATATTTTCTATGCAATTGATGAAAAAGTAAACAAACACACTTTTAATGTTTTCATTTTATTTTTGATGCTTTTCCTATTGCTGTTTGATGCCCAGTAATTTATTATTTATTTGCGTCTAGTTACCTACTTACAAAAATAACTGCAATTATAGAGTATGAAAAATTAAATGTAAATAATTATTACATACTACTCTTCATAAAAATTTCTTTGACACGAATAATGCTCTGTAAACAATTCAAGATACAAAGACAAAGTAATTAATGGTTTAGGTAGTCATATTATCAGCTTAGGAGGTGGTAATCTTGTTGAAGTCGCCGCTATCCTCATCGTCGGAGAGCATGACGGTGTAGCTGGTTTTCAGTGAAGTCACCTGCCCCTGTAACGTGCGGAGCCGGATTTCAACCAACTCGAAGTTTTCTTGCAAATTGTTTATTTGAATCTGCATGCGTTGGCGAATCTGCAAAAAATATAAGTAACTCTGTCTGTTACGTTTTCGCGCCTAAGCGCCTGAATCAAATTTGATGAATCTCGGTATAGAGATAGATGAGACATATGAGAAGGACATAGGCTACATTTTGTCACAAAAATAAATCTTAAAGGAGATGAAATAGGGGATGAAAGTTTGTATGGAGAACCAATAATTTCCCAAGCAAGGAATCTGAAAACTTATGTGTAAATACCTTTTGTAACAAAAAAACAATGGTTCAACATTTTTCATAAATTACGCCTCAAGGTAAAATAGGGGATGAGGAGGCTACTCGAAGTACTTATTATCAGCTATTTGTTTATATTTCTAAGTTTTCATTGTTTAAAATAACTTTAATTGGCGTATCATGAACATGTACACTAACCAATTACTTCTTTATATTAAAAATATGTTACTAATTAGGAAATGAAACTATTTCTTTTTTATCTAAATCATATTTGTATTTTCAGACAACTTTGGAAGCCCTTTAGAAGTTCCATGAATGAATGAATGATCAATGGGACCAGAAAAGGGCGCGAAACATCGTTTGTTTAAAAAATCAAACATTCCTACGCGATTTATATCCGAAAAAAATAGTTATATTTCCTGTGTAACAATCGCGAAAAGCTAAGAACTCGATATATATTAACCCCTTGACCGCCGTGGACGATTTAAAGCGTCTTACATTAACTTGGCTGATACGCCAATGACGCCTTAAAGCGTCAATGAAACCATTTAATTTTCAATTGAAATTAGATAATAAATATTAAGATATTCCTTATGTTACTTGTGTATTCTACTTAGGTATGGATTCATAGTTGCATTTTATGTTTACTTATGTTCTTCATTGACTTAGAAGATTGGAATTCATATAAGGAAATTCATAACATATCACATCACTATGAGGGTTCGCCTCTAGGGAACAAAACTAGTTTTTGTCATTGGCGGTCAAAAGGTTAATAATTATATTTTCACAATCGTTCTCTAGAACAAGCAGCGTCCAGCAAGCAAGAATACAATATGGAAGAATTGACTCACTTCGTCTCTCTCCTTCTGGCAAGCTCGACACTGTGCACGACTTTGCACGAGCTGCCGTTCCAACTCCGATATTTGAGTCTGAAGATATCGTCGCATAGAGTCTGAGCGCTCCTTGCTCCGTGACAGTGACCTAACCAACATGATTGCGATGAGACCACGGTAATTTTGACAGAGTCAAAATGTTTTGAGCGTTGAAACTTATGAAAATGATTCTTTAATAAAAATCAACCTTATACTAACCCGTCGTAGCCTAATGGTTTGACCTACTGCCTCTCAAACAGAGGGTCGTGGGTTCGAATCCGGGCTCGCAGCTCTGAGTTTCTCGGAATTTATGTGCGAAATTTAATTTGAAATTTATCATCAGCTTTTCGGTGAATGATGTAAGCTGCGCGTTGAAGAAGGTTCACAACCCTCGGAAAACGTGTGAAGTCGCCAACCCGCACTGGGATAGCGTGGCGGACTATGGCCTAAGCCCTCCTCTGAAAGGAGACCCGTGCCCGGCAGTGAGACGTACAAATGGGTTGACGATAATGATCGTTATCCTAATGACTTAAGGTACACTGTTTGATTGCAGACGTGTATTAAAAGTGTACCTGACATTTAACGAATTTAGGTTTGATTTTTATAAACTCTTTTTATAAATAAAAAAAAAACAAAAAAGTATGGTTTTAAATTAATTCGCAAGTGAATTGGTGCCGTCAAACCTACAGTTATGATTTGAACAGACTGCAATAATTTTTACGCTGTTCGTATTAATATTTCATTTTTATCACCGTTCAATGTGACGCCTAGAATTTGATCAAACAATTTGTCAATAGACAGCAGATACATAAGAAGAGACAGAAGAAATATATCCACTTGATCAGAAGTAGGCGTTATAACTCAAGTTCGGAAGCGACCGCAGTAATAATAAAAATAAATACGTTTCTATGGCTTCGTGGCACAATCAGTATTTTTTTAATCTGGATTACATTCATGTTGTTAAAACGACACTAGTAGCAACTTACCTATTAGTCTCTATACGTAGTTCATCAAGATCTTTCAGCAACGCTGCACATTCCACTGATTTTTCTTTGAATCTTGTTTCTTGTTGAGATAACTTCTCTTCTAGCCTTAATACCTGGCATCTAACAACAGAAGTAATTTATATTTTTGCTATTTTTTTCTTTTTCCTAAGGTTCCTCCAAACAGCGTGAAGTGTTGCGAAGGAAAAAATTACCACTTTCAATGTGGCCAAGATTATATTTGGGTTCCAATTACGCGCTTACAAAATGCAATTGCTTACAAACGGTCGACAAACGAAAATTGAGACCTAAAACTACTCGTTTTAATCGTTTTAAGTACACTGTACCGACTTACAATTTGCAACTTTGATGCGATAAGGCCACATCTGAAAAAACCTACTTGAGAGACGATTAAAAATTCCCGAATCAGTCGATAACTTTTTACGCTCAAATATGAGAGTTATATAGTTTTAAATCATTAAATATACATATTTGTTTTATGTGTTTCGTATTACTTCTATGATTTTGACGAACGATCACATGTGGCTTTATTATATCAAAGCTATTACTTCTGGTTCAAAATAAATAGTTTTAGCTTATCATTGATATTATATTTACTTGTTTTCCGCCGTCGATTTTCTCAGTTCTTCAAGTTCCTTCGTGGAGTCTTCCAGTGAAGTTTTTATACGTTTATTTTCTTCTTGAAGTTTCAGTTTTTCTGCTTTCTCTTGATTCAGATTGTTCACAGCTGTTATCAACTGAAACAAGTATTAAATATTAAGACGCTGACAAGCGTTGATGACCTTGCGTTGATGACCTTGAGCAATAACGCGCCTACTATAATTTCTCCAATAAGGCGGCGCCATGCGCCCCGATGCGGTAAGAGTGTGGTAGTTGGACCTTCCGCTTGATTAGCTTGAAAATCCTAGAATATTGCTTATTGTCATAGGTAATACAAATACTGGATTATAGTGAGACTCTGGTAGTTATTTTTTGACATATTTTTCTCGGGCAAACCAAACTTGCTTACTACCAAATTTGGTGTGGTTATTTAAATGGTACTTATCTTGATCCTGACACTTTATTTGTTTTAAATAAAAGACAAATAACAAATTTAGGAGTAAAAAGTAACTTTCGCCTACTAAAGTACGAGCTAAATATTTGCTTGCAAATTATGGACAGGCACTTAACAGTGTGAAAAATTATCCTACACAAAAATGTTAAAAAAATTAAAAAATGTCAATTTTTTTACCATTAGGTGAGAATAAAAAAATTATATATATTTTTGGTTGTATTAGAACCTAAAACACAAAGTATTCAAAACAAAAATGGAATTATTGTTTTCATCCTTATTTAGTAAAATTGCAACGATGAAAACTTCACTTCTGCTGCGTAGCTTGCGTTCGTGGGATACGTTGCCAGACCCCTGTTTTGACATGGTTTTGACAAATTAATTTATATTGTATTGTAATCGGCTGTCTACCGTCGAGCACAATACTTACGAGATATGTAGTTGGACATAGTTATGCAAACTATAACCAACCCCCAAAATGTCATTTTCGAGATAATTAGAATTTTGTAAAAACAGTGTGATGAAATAAATAGGTAAGTTATTTGAGACTGCGCCGAGTACTCGTTTTGCTACTCGGTACTCGGTGTACTCGGCCGAATAACTCGGTTCATGAGAAGAGTACTCGGTTAAAATAAAGCATCACAGCTATAGACATAATAAAGTAAATTCAACGATATATTTAAAATAGTCAAAAGAGTACATATCGAGTTCTTAGATTTTCGCGATTGTTACACATAGAAAATAAATAGTTTGAGAAAAACTGGATATGAACTAGCATACAGGTTTCCTCACTTAATGACTATCAAATCAAATCAAATGTTATGTAATAAACGAACACAGCAAAAACTATAAGTTGGCAGGTATTTAAGCATATAAAAAGATACAAAAGGAGCCATAAAATTAATTCAATGTTAATCTTATTCATTAGAAAATCTGTAGACAAGAGACTCCGGTATCATTGAATAATGAAGTGTTACATTAAACAGACAGTACCGCCTTTTTAGGCATTACAATAGATTAAAAATTACAGTGGGGTCCACATATAACAAATTTCGTGAGTAAACTAAGCTCCGCGGCTTACGCGGTTAGGAAAATTCGCAAATGACGAACATACAAACAGCTCGAGCTGTGTATTTTAGTTATTTTCATAGTCTTTTATCATATGGAATTTTATTATGGGGACACGGGTCTGACATTCAGTAAGTATTTGTTTTACAAAAAAGGGCGATTCGTAGTATTTATAATATGTATTGTCGTGACTCATTGAGAGAATTGTTTTTGAATTGGAAATTAAAATAATGACAGTGACTTGCCAATAGGTACATTTACGCTATTGTAATGTACATACGAAAAAATATCCTTTTGTTCCCTGAAAGCATTTAGATTGCATAAATTAAACTCATCTTTCTTAGGAAACTGTGTATGGTTTTATAATAAAATATCCGGTGGAGCAACCCAACTGTCCCATAGGAAATTTAAAAACTATACTAAAATGCGCTATTTAATAAGAGCTACTACAGTGTTACTAATATATCCAGGACAAAGATGCTTGGAATTCATCTCCAGCGGACACTTGACGTACGTATTTAACGCTTATACAAATAGCAGTAACAGTAATGGCAATGTCTAAATGTAAAATTATTTAATTTTTAACAAAAACAATGAGTGATTGTTGTAATTAATTTGATGGTGTAATTTTTTTACCAATGAAATAAAGATATTTTGAGTTTGAGTTTGAGGTAATTTATCTGACGACTTAATTGTAGTAAAAGGTAGTCATCATGTACTCTGCTACAGGCAGATATTATCGTTTTAAAAGATTGTGTTGAAACTGTCATGGACAAGACTTTAGAGTCAGAGCTTGGTACCGGTATAAAAAAGTACATGTACTCGTATTATACTGGCATTTTCCATGTCGATACCTGAATATCAGTACCAATGGAAAACCGATATATTTACCTAAATAAAACGGTATAATTGACACCGTTACCGTATGATCAGTGCAACCATTTCTTGAAAACATACAGGTTAAATTTATATCGGTAGTATCTCAATGGAGATGGGCAGGAGACGTTGCTAGGCGGGACAACGACTGATGGACCAAGGCGGTCACTGAGTGGTACCCGGTAAGAGCGAGACGTCTTCGAGGGAGATCACATAGTAGATGGTCGGACGATTTCATCGGGGTGGCCGGAAGACTGTGGATGAGACTCGCACAGGACCGATGAGATGGTGTGCAAAATAGCAGCCCTATACCCATTAGTAGGTGTTAACGGGCTGAGATGAATGAATGTGTCTCAAGTACCGGTGAATTAATTGTATCAGGTCCAATTAAGCGCTGCTCAAGATGGTCTATCTATCGAAATTCATTTTTACCAATACTGACACTCCTGTTGGTAGTGTAAGTAGGCTACTTTACAGTTTATTTAGATATAGGTTATATCTAGTTAAGTTTTAAAATATTACCTTTTTTGATATTATATGAATTACCTTTTCTTTGACTCTATGCAATTCATTGGAAAGTTGGCTGGAACTATCTTCCGCTAGCCTCTGTAATTGTTTTGCTTCCTGCAACTGGATTTGGGCTCCCTTCAGAAGATCAGGCAGCGGCGACAGCTCTTGAAGCTTCTCTTGAAATTGCATCTGTTAGAATAAACATGACGTTAAAGCAATAGAAATAATTTGTTGCATATTGGAAAGATTACGACCCGCTACAACTTCGATTTCCTTCCTAGTTAAATTTAGTTAAAAAAATATTTAATTAACAAATCAATCACCTTCATTTTCTGTATTTCGAGCTGAATGTGATCGGAGACCTGTTTGCTGTCATAGTCTACCACGTCCAGTTGTCGTTTCAATTCCTCCACCTGTTGCTGTGCTTGAAGGTACTGAAATGAAGCATACTTAAGTCGGTTTAATTGTCATTACTTTTCATTTCATTATCGTCCCCCTTCTAATATATCTAATTTTCTTTCTTCTTTAGATCAACTTCTGAACTGTTTCACAACATGTAGTAATATTGTACTTGTAGGAGATATAAATATTGACATTTCCACGAGCTCAAGTGATCTGCGTGCCTCCGACTATCTGACTATGGTTGCCTTCCATGGGATGCTCCCTGCTCACTCTTTTTCCATTCGTAATAATTACTCTTGTATAGACCACGTTATTTTAAAAACAAAATACCCAGCCTACTGTTTTATAGCGCATACATCAATCACCGATCATGATTCTGTTTTATTCTTCCTTAAAGCTAAACTTTCCGTAGCAAATTCTCAAAAAACAAAAACCATTAAATTACTTGACTATGTAAATTTAGAACTTGACCTTTTAAATTTTGATTTTAAACAATTACTTATATAATATGAGAGAAGTAAACCTAGCTACTCCCTATTTTCTTAACTCCTTAAACCGTGACATGACGGCAAATGCCCTTATCAAAGTTGTCTCAAATCGTAAAACACTTAAGAAGCCATGGATGACTCTGGGACTTCTAAGGGGCCTCAGAAATCGTGACCAGCTTCACCTGAAAGTCAAAAAATCACCAAAAGATAATCCTCAAGACCACCTATGCGAGACATATGTAGAAATTATTGCTCGACAATCTTATATAAAGCTAAATCTGAATATGACAGGGAGCAGTTACGTAATGCTCAAAATAATAATAAAAAACTTTGGAAAGTTATTAAGAACATCTCTTTTGCTTCCAAAGAGAGAAAACCTGGGCTTGAACTCGTGTCTGCTAGTCCTGTTAATTCAATAGACAATATTAATTTATATTTCGATAACATTGGACGTAGTTTGGCTGAAGGTATCCCCGCGGGTCCCATTGAGCATTCCTCTGATTCGTGTTCTATTTCTAGTGCAAACGCATTCGTCCTGTTACCTACTGATGAGGTCGAGGTGGAGGGAATTGTGACGAATCTTCGTAGTGACTGTGCTGTGGGCTACGATGGCATTTCGGGCTCCTTTTTAAAAAAATTCATACATATTTTAGTTTCCCCAATAACGTTCCTATGTAATCTTTCCTTTAGTACCGATGTCTTCCCCGAGGCCTTCAAGCTTGCTATAATTCATCCGGTGTTCAAGAGTGGGGACAGAGGTCAAATAAACAACTACAGACCTATTTCAATTTTGCCCACCCTGTTTAAAATTCTAGAGAGACATAAAAATAGTAGACTGATGAATTACCTGGAAAAAAATAAATTGTTGTTTACCTCTCAGTATGGTTTCCGGCCTGGTATTTCTACAAATAATGCTGTATCAGACCTAACTAACGAAGTCGTTGCTAAACTTGATAACAAGCAGAAGGTAATGGCTGTATTCCTCGACCTCGCCAAAGCATTCGATACAATATCAGTTCCACTACTCATTACTAAACTGGAAAGGTTGGGTATTCGAGGACTTCAGCTTGGCCTTTTTGTAATTTATCTCGTTGATAGACTACAGTATGTTAGGATTGGAGATTTAAACAGTAAGTAACTTCCGAGCACGTATGGTGTGCCCCAGGGCAGTATTCTCGGCCCTACCTTTTTAGCGTATATTAACCACCTCTGTAACATGCAATTAAAAAACGGTTCCATTTTTACATACGGCATATGTAAAAATAGAACCGTTTTTTGACACTGCCTTGATATTCTTTGGCGAATCCTGGGAGTCCGTGTGTTTTACTATGCGTAATTGGGCTTTAATTCAGTTTCTGCATGGCTTTCTCAGAACCTTCTCATCCTTAACGTGGATAAAACAATGTGTCTCCCTTTCTCTCTTTCAAGTCGTGGTCTTCCATCCGCCACCTCTTTCACTGTCACGGCTCATTCGTGTCCTTCCTTTTCTAAAAATTCCTGCTCTTGTCCATCCTTACTCCGCACTCACTGCATCAAATACTTGGGTGTCCAGCTAGATAGCATACTTTCTTTTAGCTATCATATTGAGAGTCTTTCCCTACGGTTACGTAAATTAATTTATGTTTTTAAAAACCTCAGTCTCGTTGCTGACGTGAAAGTTTTGCGACTTGTGTATTTGGCTCTCTGTCAATCTCTCACGACACATTGCATAACAGTTTGGGGTGGATCTTCCAAGCAGCAACTTCTTCGGCTGTAACGAGCGCAACGTGCGATACTCAAGGTGGGATGGAACCTTCCTTTCAGATATCCAACCTCTGATCTTTACAAAACCTGTGAGGTCCTTTCAGTACGTCAGCTGTTTATCCTCCACACGGCTTTAACCAAACACACACTAATCTCCTTCGACTCTTGACAAAATAAACACTGTTCGGCGTAAATGCACTGTCTGCCCTTCGACTACACTTTACACTAATTGTGCACAGCGTAATTTCTGTTTTTTGGGAGGCTATTTATATAATAAGATAAACAGTATTCTTAATGTCTACCCCTTATGCTGAGCGAAATGTAAAAAATTATTACTGACTGGATAATTATGATTCGACTTAAAAACTATTCACTATACTAAATATTGTCTTGTATTGTATTGTATGTTCCTATACATAAAAGTATTTAGTTGAAGAAGTAGGTTTCGCAAACAGACCCAAATAGCAATATTCTAAAACGTAACCCAATTATTCGTAGCTACTCATCCACAGCCTACAGTCGACAACAATGTCCAATCCTGCCTTAAGTTTCATTAACAATTATGTACAAATTAAAGTACTATCCAAGTCTACTTACCTTGACACGATACTCTTGTAATTGCTCAGTCTTTTCTGTTACAGTCAACCTCAATTCTTCCAACTCATCTTTCAGGTCGCGCAGCTGTGATTTCAAATTAGTGACTTCGCTTTCTGTATGCTTCTTTGATTCCTGCTGCAAAGTTATAAACATTTTTTTAATTCGATAAGATGATTGCTAATATAGTATTACTTACTTTCATAAACATATTTATATTTAGGTATCGCTAGTATTGGGTCATGGAAAAGTATCATTTTGAAAAATCACAATTTTTAAAAAAGTAAATATTTTCCTGAAAATTATTCCCTCATTTTTCCACATTTGACAGTAACAACTGTCAAAAGTTAAAATCTATATGAGAATTTCTGAAAATAAGCCAAGCGGAGTTTAAAAAATTACATTTAGCAATGATTACAAAATTTAATTTTATAATTAATGTTACATAGATGTATCTAAACGCAGAACATAATATAAGTCTTCAAATTATAATTTTCCAATTTTTCACAATTTTTTGTGAAAAATTTCCACTATTTTAAATTTTTTGGAAAATAACCCAAAACTGCCTATAATATCCAACTCTACATGTGCAACGTGAATATGTGAATAAAACAACTAGTTTTAATGGTCATAAAATCAAAAAGATGTACCTTAGCATCGAATACGACGCCAGTGCAGCAGATGCCGTTTAGTTTCATCTCCAGGTCCTGCAGCTTTGTCTCATACTTTTCGCGCTTGAACCTCTCTTCATCCGCCGTGTTTTTGGCCCTTATCAATTCTTCGCGGAGTTTCGACATCTAAATGATATAGAATTTCATACATAATATATTTCGTATAAAAAAGAGTTAGGTAAAAATGGCTAGACAGTTCCGCTTAATCGCGACCAAACTTCATAGTCAATGTTCACACCGTATTACTTTTAGTAGTAGTAGCTCCTTGTGAAATGGTTCGTCCAGGGAAGTTCTACCACCTCTTTCTGTCGTTAAGCAGATTACTGCGATAACCGAAGATGCTTACTTTGGTTTTGAAGGATAAGGTAGCTAGTGAAATTACAGGCACATGAGATTTGTCACGTTGTCTCTGGGTGACGGCCTACATGGCAGTGCACCTCAGATCTTTGCGATTAAAGCTCTGAGTGGCACTGCAGTTGTTATGGATACCACTCGCTTACCACTAGGCGTACGATTTATTCGTCACGCTACTTGATATCATAAAGAAAAAGTGGCTTGATGAGGATGCCATTCTCACTTGTACAGCACACATATACACATCTACGAGTGTGTGCAGGCTTTATGCAGGTTTATTTGCGGGGAAGCATACTTACAAAAGTGTGGACGGGCCTTTATACTATTTACCTCTGTGAATGTTTGATATTTCTCATCTATTTTTGTTGTATCCCTTATAGTCGTAGTTGTATCTTTGACGACATCCTCATCCTGAAATTAATAAATAATACCTAAATAATTGTACGTAGCTTTTTTTATAATAATACGAGAAACATAATGACGAACAATAAAAGATTTACAATTAACACGTTTAATTAGCAAGTAAGGTACGTATTATTTGTAAACCTATATGCCTCTAATTGCTGATATATATTTACTAGATAATATTCACGGTAAATCTGGCAGTAATAAAACGCCTGTACGATTAACACCCGCAAAGACATGTTCACGAAAATACTGATCATAGGTTCTTATATTAACCAGGCGTTAAGTGACGATTTCGTTCAAACAATCAATAAAAATAATTGGCATTATACGGACTTTCTATTTTTCTTTTTGCCTTTTTTAACCGAATTCAAAAAAGAAGGAGGTTCTCAATTCGACTGTATTTTTTCTTGTATGTACGTTACGCGATTACTCCGGCTGTGATATAATCTGTGAAATGATTTTGATGATTTTTTTTTTGTTGGAAAGAGGGTACCTCAGTATTGGTTCTATTTAAATTTGAAGACAATACTCCACGTCTAAGAGTATCAAAGTAGGTGATGAAATCGGTTTCACGCAGCGATTTCAAATAAAACTTGGCAAATACATGTAATTCCACGAACTTTAGAGGTCAGTTTTTAATTTAATAAAAAAAAGGCATTTGGTATTAATATGTTTTTAACAATATCAAGTTAACGGTTCATCTGAAGAAAATTGGTACCCGCCGTAATAGACAACGAGATGCCGGTCGTGAGATATAAGATCCTATATCTATGCTTGTACTGGCTCCTCCGACGTTTAATTCCGAAACATAGCAGAGTAATTTTGCGGTACAAATAAATACCCTGGTTTATTCTGCATAAACACCTGTTTAATAATCTAGTTTGTGTAATGTTTGTTATAACTGTTCATCGGTTGGAAGAGATTTGCCCTTCGCCTTTCGCCACAGCTTACCTTGTTGACAATTATATAAGTGCGTCGAGGGCATGCAAAGAAATGTTGAAGCAATTTTTACTCTTATTTCAATTCCAATAATAACTTGAGTTAGATGGTCCTTGTGCGGGCTTGGTCCCACAGGTTATAGTGCCCATCACGCATAACCAAGAGGTTGTTAGATAGAGTTACTATAAACAAAACTTATGGAGAAAGTAATGGGACTGTTATTTCAATAATTGTCTCTATGTACCCACCCGAGAGATAGGCAGTTCCGGGGAGACTACGGGCACCCCGGAAGAGTTACAAGCAAAACTTAGGTAGAAAAGATAATATGGGACTGTTATTTAAATAAACAGGATGTCCCACGGCTATGCGACACGGACTGAAAGCACTTTAAATTTTGTAGACAAGATGCTTTCTTTCATGGAGACTTTTTTTTTAAATAAGTAATACGGCATTCAAGATTTTTGAAAGTTACTTGCCTCATCTGGGAACCGAACTGATCAAATTTGAAAATGAAACATCTTGTATTTTTATGATGCCGATCAAAAGGGTCATTTAATTATAAAGAATTAGTTTCTTTTAAGTAACATAGTAATTGACATTGAAGGAACACCATGAAATTTAACTCTTAAGTTTAGAAAAATGAATTCCTTATAATGCCTTTTACTGTAGATATTCGTACATCAAGATGGAACTCCAGTTTATAACTATCGGAGAACAGCCAAAGCTCTTAATGGTTGTTTTCCTTCCTAGATATGCATGGACCGATTCATTGTCCAGTGAGATCTCCAGAACTGACTATACATATGTATAAACGTATGTATTTTTTTCTGAGGGTATTGAAATATTTAATAACCAAGAAGCAATTTGACAATGTGGACAAGTTAAAACGGTGTTGTTGTGTATTATTTCGAACATTTAATATAATAATACGAGCAGCAAACTTATCAAAATATTGAAAACTTGCATACAAGAAGATGGATCACATTTTAAACAATTGATAAATGAATTTGTAAGTAGGTACCGTAAATACATTGGCATTTTTCGGTTTGTTTCTACTTTAACCAATAATTGTATAATTAATGGTGTTCCTTTAATTTAAGATTCTACGTTACTGAAAAGGGGTTAATTGTTACAATTTACCCTTAGGATCGATATCATAAAAATATATTTTATTTTTTTCATATTTTGTAGTTTCGATTTCCAGATGAGACAAGCAACTTTAAAAAGTCCTTGAATGGAGAAATTTATTACTTTTAAAAATAAAATAATATCTTCATTAAGCAAAACATCTAATTCACATTATTTAAATTACTTTCCCTCCTTGACGCCTAACCGTGGACAGCCTGACTAATCGAAATAAGCAATCTGGTAAACGGCTAACGCGAGGCATCTAATTGGTTAGTTTCTTTGTTACTTGTACTTTTGTGCTGCGAAAACGTGCTGATTTTCTTTTCATTATTATTTATTCAATTTTTAAATTTACAATTAACAAAACAAAATAATGTGCATAAATCTATACGGGTTTTTCGTACCTAAAGCATTCGTCATCTACACGATATAAAAATTAGAATACATATTAAATATTATATAGGTAACATAACAATTCTGGGGCAAATATTACGCACAACATGCTAAAGAATTTTGATAAAAAACAAGCACGTTTAGTTACATTATGGATTAATGGTGAGGCACAAGCTGGCATCGCTAAATACCAACCGAAAAGCAGTCGTGGTTAGAGTCCACGCGATTATAATCTTAAAAACGCTGCTACGAATATGGGCACTAATAAAAACGGCTTACTTACAATATCGCTATGTTGGCGATTATGAAGATCGAGTCGATCTTTTCGTATGGCCGCCAGTTCCATTTGGATCACTTTGACCTCACCCTCCATGTCCCCCAGTTGCTTTTGCTGTTTAAAAAAATAATAGTAGGGAAAGTAATACTTTTTTAATGCCATTATTATTTAATTTCAAAGATAGATAGACCTATCACATAGTTCCTGATTAGCAAATCCAAGCCATGGACTATAACAAAAAAAATTGAATTTTACGTATCTACTTCCTGTTTTCGTACAAAATGTTAGTGTCTTTATTATGTGGTAAGTTACTTACCACTTACATAATTGTATTGAGCAATATTACTATGGCTCATAATTTTGACCCAAACTATTTACAGACTCATTACGCGATCGTAGCTACATCTGCGTGTTAAAACCACGACCACTGCATACGTTTATACTAGCGAGTTGCGGCGAGCAGCTATGACGTATGCAGCTACAAGATGATCACACGTTTTACAAAATAGAATAGCTTGGATTTTTTCCAAAACATTATTTGGTATGTGACGTGGTGCCTACGGCCATAAAAAATGTCATTTCCAATCATTTAACTTCTTATAAAATGGAGCATACATTGTAGTCTTTGTACGGAAACCTGATGCAATGTATTTTCATGATAAAGTTAGCCTGACTGACCTGTTCCTATTAATGGAATACGTACTAGAACTGAAGCTTCTCCATTGTTACAATCTTCGAATAATTTGCTTCCAAACGGCCAAAACTCTGACTGAGGCATTGTTTTGTCAAAGTGGGTAATTAATCCAATCTTCTTAATAACTTGGCATTTTGTGCAAATGGAATTTATGTAAATACACAGTTTTAATTATATAATAAATTTTAAAAACAATCAAATGCAAAGTTTGATTAACTTGTAAATATATGCAAAATATTATCTATAATTATTTGATAACGTAGCCCAGCAAGAATCTATGCGGCAATGTCAAATGTCAATATGTTTTTATTTAAAAATTATTATAATTTTTCGTTGCCAGGCATTATCTGTATAAAATCTGTATATTATGTTCCTTAGTGCGAGTATTAAGATAAAAAAAATGCCAAAATAAGTATTATAAAGTATTTATTAACCGGTTTCAAAAAACAGGTTCTCAATTAGACTATATATTTTTGTGTATGTTACTCGATTTTTCGACATTGATTGTGAACTGATTTCGATAATTATTTTTTTGTTATACGAAAATAATTAAAATGTCACAAATAAAATGTATCACTTTCTCCAAAATCAATTCAACATAATAGTAATATTTTATAAAAAAAAACGACCTCAAAAGTTCGTGGAATTAGATCTATTTGCTAAGTTTTATTGAAATCGGTTACAGGAAATTGTGCGAAACTTCATTAATCCCCTAGTTTGCCATCCTTAGAGGTGAAATATTTTCTTCAAATTTAAATGGGACCAATACTGAGGTACGCTCTTTCCAACAAAAAAAGAATCATCAAAATCGGTTCACAAATTTAATCGCGTAACATCCAAGAAATATACAGTCGAATTGAGAACCTCCTCCTTAAAGTCGGTTAAAAATGAGTTTCGTTTGTCGTTTGTGACAATTTCTAAATTAACATGTGAAATTGTATTGCATGTGGATTTTCTTAGCATATCGAGGACTGACCACTTGCGGGTTTTTCGATCATTAAACCTTATGGTAATCTTTTTTCCCCCTATCACGCAATGATCGGCTTTCACCCTTAGAGGATGGAAAAAAATAAAAGAACTTTCACCGGAACACTTTCTAAAATTATGATTCCACTGCACGTCAGTGTTCAAAATGTTCAAAAGAAATACCTGTCGTTGTCTCACTTAACAAATAAATGCACTGTCATATTCTATGAAGGTTCGTCACGAATACTCAATATCCGAAAGCCGAAAAGCAACGCTGGCAGCTTATATTTCTGGTACCCAGTTAGGACTGGACTACCAAGCACTGTTTTTTTTTATAATGCCAAGTGACGGGAGGAACAAGTCGTACGCCTGGTGGTAGGCGACACGCCTGTCCAAAGCAGTTCAGCCCTTTTCCAGTTTCACAACCAACGTAATCGATATTTATTTGAAATTAAATTATTAACGTATCTGGAATCAACGAAACCATATCTAGATACTACCTTCTTCTATAAGCGGGTTTTTATATCTATCTTATTTAGTTTCACTTTTATTGTTAAGCAAAATCTGCATAACTGATATTTTTCAGAGAAAACCAAAACTAGTGGCAATATCTCGAAAGTGCAAATGCATTAGTTATGACAAGGAGCGAAAAGTTGCAGTGCCACTCAGACCTGGCGACTAGGTGGCGATCACGCTATGCGCTACGCGTAAGACGGTAGTGTACAGCTGTCATTAATAAAAAAGAGATGTTATGTACCGAAATTGCTAATGTTGCTAGTTTCCAAGACATTGAAAGGATTTTCGTTCCCTACCGGTGCCTGTTTTTATACATTCACAACCTCATTCAGATAGATGGGATTTTTCTGTGTTCGTGTTAATAAAATACAGTATATCATTGGTAGATATGTATAATTCACCATCACAAGAAAACTTATTATATTACATATATCATATTATATAGTATTATATTGTGATATATTATTATATTATATTCTCGCCGCTAGTTTGTTCTTGGTGGCGTCCACGTCAAATCAGTCGTTTGCTTCTAAATAACCGTGCTTTACTCCAGAGCCCGGGATGTTGACCACCTGCTGGAGAAGTGACGGGCTGACAACGTCAAATAATTCAAATCAAGTCAGTGGGCTGCTTAGAGGATGGAATTTCCATAGTCTAAGGTGGGCTGCCATCACCACAGCGTTGACTCATAAGGCTTTCTATACTTATCTGATATTTTATTTGTTCACTCACTCGTTAATTTAGGCCTACATATAATTTTTATATCGTAACTTTGGAGCTCAAACTCAAATAAATGTATACTTTATTGGTTGACCAGAGACGACACTACTTCAAAGCGTGATTGATGTCATGATTGAGCACATTAATAGAGACCAAAGGCAATGTCTTAATAATGTGGAAACAAAAAGAGTACCATTGAACCCAGCTGACGACTTATTTAAGATTTTTTTATGATACTAAAGCCATCAACTCGCAACCTTGAACGCCCTGCTGAACACACCACCGTTCCGAATTTGCGGCCTCCGTTACGTGACGGAACGAATAAGTTTTACGCTGAATAAGTTTTACCGAGCGTAAGACTTATTCGTTCCTGTTCATAGTAGTTACCGTGCCAATTAGAGTTTTAAATCTCTAGGACCTGAAGGGCACTGCCACTGCGCCCATCACCCTAAGATATAAGTTGACTAGTCCTATGTGCCCGTAATTTCACTGGCACCCTTACCCTTCAAATCCTGAACGCAATAATGGACACATTACTGCTTGGCGGCAGGAATAGTTAAAAGTGATAGTAATTCCCTGGACAACCTCTTTCACAGGGCGATCCACTGCCGCTAGATTCTAGACTAAACATTGAAAGCTGTTAACAATTGAGCGTCAAATAGGTATATCTCTAAAATCTTGCTGGAGAAAACTAAAGAAAAGCTTTTAATTTTATTGTTAGCTTGACCAGCCGCTGCAGGATTATTATCATTCGTTGCAAGAAGAAGCCAGTGGGTTCGGTTTCTGTAGTTGCTCTCAAAGTATTTTGAAAGAAGTATTTTGAAGTAATTTGAAACTAAGAGCACAAACAGTTATTACACGTCGCTAAGTCGTTACTAAAAATCAAAGGTTTACAATACATCGGGTGCAGTATAATCTTATCTGCGTAGAAATAATCTTGAAAATTTAACAATAAAACGGATTTTACAATATAGTGGAATAGAGTTGTTAATCTAAAATAGCTATTCAGTATTTATTTTTCTATTTAGTTATGCAGCTGTAATCCATCGGTGCGATCGCTTGTGAATATTTTGTTATAGAAGTTGTGTTGATCTTCTTTTATATGGTAGGTATCGTAAAAGTTTCAATACCACTGCTCCATTATTTCTTATTTTATCATTTCGTTTTTATTTAAAGTGAGACGTTCTCTCGCATATGCAAGCCACGGTTTAATGTTTAGTACGTCCATGGTTTAATGCACTGAGGCTTACTCAGCCTCACTGACAGACAGGGCCGTTAATGGTTACATATATTTGAATATTAATGTTCGTATTTGTTTGAAATAAAAAAAAGTTTATCGATAATGGGGCTGTTTGTTACAGATTTTTGTAGTATGATTACATTGTTATTATTTAATTTTCTTTATTATCGTTAATAACTTTTGTATCTCACGTAGCACACTATTAAAACGTTATACAGAAATAATAAGTTTTTACCGCTTAACCTCTACCGTACGAATGTATTATTTCTGTACAGTTTATCCCTTTTACCTCAAATAATAAGGCTAACTACGATTTTGAACTCTTAATGATCAACTGGGATATTACGTGAGGCGCACTACAAGTTTCCGGATCTGGCCACTTACATAAACAATATTTTAAAAGTAATTACGACATTTGAAAAGGAAGTCTTTAGCTATAGAATACAGTTTCTTTCTTCTGACTGTCACTTGTTTTTACATTATGGCTCATTTTAGAAATTGGTTGTCTACATCACCATGGATTTAACTCGTGAAAATTTTCGTAGTATGATTTTCTACGACCAGTCCAGTGTCCAGTTTTATTAAAAAAAGAAGCAATCATCCGCTTAGAGGCACTTTGCACGCGTGCCACTTTCTCGATAGACCTATACGCTCGATTGTTGCTTTGTTTTGAAATCGTAACTATAAATCCATGTTTCGTCACCTGTTACTATATCCCACACCAAATTTGACGTCCCTTCGTTGAATCTGGTAAGCATGGCATTGTACCAAGTGACGCGATCAGTTTTTTGACCCTCAATCAAATTGTGTGGGATCAACCGAGAGCACAGCTTTTTCACACCCAAATGTTTGTGTAGTATTGATTGTATTTGATTCATGCCTATGCTTAAAGATGCCCGAATCTCATGGTATATCACATGCCTGTCTATTTTGATCATACGGCGCACAGCATCGATGATTTTGTTTTACACAGTAGTGGACGGGCGACCATCACGAAATTCGTCACTGAGATACACACGACCGCGTTTGAATTCTGTAAACCAGCTATAAATATAGTTGTCTTGCATGGTGCTTCACCGCCAAAAGCAGTTTGAAGCCGAGCGAAGCTCCGCTGAGCAGTTTTGTTACATTTAAAGTCATAGAAAATCACACTATGAAAATTTTCATGAGTTAAAGCCATTTATATCTATGGTTAAAGCCATGGTGATGTAGACAATCAATTCTTAAAATGACACCACAATGTAAAAACAAGTGACAGTCAGATGAAACAAACTGTATTCTACAGCTAAAGAGTTCCATTTTCAAATGTTGTAATTACTTTTTAAATATGGTTTATGTAAGTGGCCAGTTCCGGAAACTTATAGTGCGCCCTATGTATTAAATCAATACGTTGAATTCTTTTACATTAACTTTTGGTACACGTCACCGTCTGTCACCATTGATACATATTAATTGTACGGTAATAAGTGTGATTTAATGTTCTTTGCAAATAAGATGGATCGTGTGAAGTTCTTGGAAAAGCAATGCCTAGTGAATTACACTGAATCTTTGGGGATGGAACACTGAATCAATTGAAAATAAGTTCTCATTCCTAGTAGTGTATGGTGTGGCGATGTTAAGGTGCATAATACAGAAATGAGGCACAATAGAATTGCGGCAATTTAACGCATTGCGGTGGCAATAGCGAAGTGCGATTTGATCGCAAATTCACAATAGTTGTTGAGAGACCTCGTATTTTTGAAGTTTGTGAGTTTTGTTGGAGTGTTTATAGGTTAGTAATACTAGTTTACTAACCTTTACAAAAGTTTAGTTTATAGGTTAATAATAATAAGGAGGACGTTAGTTATAAACATGCCTCATCGTTTGCAGATTCCCTATTTTAATTCAACAAACCAGCTAACTATACACCATATTATGTCTACTACTTAAATTTAAAATACCTATTTGGGTTTTCTTAGTGGATAACTATTGCTACTTTTTTATGTTTAAATTCTTTTTACCGACTACCTTCTAAATAGCACGGGGTGATCTGTTATTGGTCTTACAAACAAATATAATTTATTTTGTTTAATATTATTTAAGAAACGCCGTTGATTGTCTGAAATAAACAAAACAAATAAATAAACTTATAAAATAAAATAAACAAATAAAAAATCTTAAAATCATAAAAATACTGATTTTTACAGTACAAAGCACTCACCGTCAATTTATTTTTATACTAGGCAGCTAGAATTCAGTATCCAGTAAACCCACTTATGAAACTTAAAATTCCATACCCAAAAAACATTTCAATATATAACGAAATAGTATCCTGCCATAAAAACGACAGTGACAGTTCGTTGTTGCTCGTATTGCCGCGTTTTGCGATAAAAAGCTTACCTGAAACAAGCTGTTAAATTGCATCACGCGTTAAAAGCGTCGCAGCGCCTGATTGGTCAACTCAAGATCATATCGCGCAACGCGATGAATTGCGGCAATTTATTGCCAGAATGTTTGCATTGTGAATCCACCTTTATGGTTAATACTGGTAATACGGTAATACCACCTCAAACGATACTTTTACTACTACTTCAGGCAACAATAATATCTGATATTGCAAGTACTTAGGCATTAAAGTAGATTATGACGTGCTTACTAACTATTTACGTTAACTTGACCCGAATGAGTCAGCTGGTATGGATCCTTAACGGCGTTATTTATAATCAATTGCATTAACTGCATTTCTACGTCTGTTCTATTGCTATATCAATGTTCTTTCGTATCTTACCCCCTCACCCCTATATAAAAAGGTTAAAACCGACGTAATTTGTTGCAGAACGATCTCTAATTTATGAATTTTAAAGAAAATAATGGAAAATATTGTTGTATACGGTAGCCAGTACTTTATTTATGCGAACGGACTTGTGCTTTGTGCAGCCGATGCTACTGTCTCGGTGTGAAGAACCTAAAGTTTCATCCTGGAAAGGATGCCAAGCCTCCTGCCTACATTTTCGGTCGTATATTCAGTATATCTGTCAAGATACAAAGATGGTGACAGGTACATGGCAAGTTGCTTTGACTTATTACACGATATTTAAGTTCATGAGACGACCCTATCTTTCTGTTACACTTTTCTTGCCTGGGTTAGTCACGAGAAAACAATTATCTAGCTAGTGCCCGCGACTTCATTTGCATAGAATAAGTACTTCGAGCAGCCTACTGTACATACTACTAATGTAGAAATGTTTGGTTCTCCATAATATGGAGAACTAACGCCGAAAGCGATCTTGTCGTATCTCGAAAAATAGAACTTTAAGCCAGGGCCGAATGACTATTTAAAAAAAATATTTACTTTAATTTGAATTAGTAGAAAGTCAATTTTAAAGTCTAGTTATATACATCATCCCTAAAAAATGGCTTTCTACTTATTCAAATTAAAGAGAAATAATTTTTTGAAATAGTTTCTCGAATCGGCCCTGGTGTAAAGTCCTATTTTTCGAGATACGCCAAGATCGCTTTCCGGCATCGATATAAACTTTCAAACCCTATCTTACCCCCTTTGAGGTTTATTTTTGTGACCAAAACTAATTTATGTCCTCCTCCTAGGTCCCATCGACCAATATATCAAAATTCATCAATTTAGGCATGAAAACGTAACAGATAGACGCATTTATAATATCAGTTTTAATATTAGTTCGCATTTATAATATTAGTTTGTGTTAGTTTCTCAGATCACTGATTCGTTGTTCCGAATAGTACTGTTATTGCGGACGTACAAGGTACAGATCTAGTGAGGTCGGTACCTCACAGATGACAGCGAAGAATGGCGAGTTTTTAAAGTTACGAGTATAGTTTTTACAAGGATTATTTTTATTTTAAATATATTATGAAGAAAAAACGAAGAAAGAAATAGTGATGAAGAAAGTTAGGACTTATTATTATATTTATAAAGCTACAAATTCTGAGTCACTTAGAATAATAGAACGCATACTTCCCGATATGGGTAAAAAAAGATATTTATGCCGTTGTACACGGATAGGCTCCAAGGCAAAGAATCAAATATGAGAAGACCTGAATGTGGGAAATGTGAACGAGTGATCAACGCCCTGCAAAAACTATATATATAATTTGGATTCCGCCATTTTCTAAGATGGCCGCCATAAATAATTGACTTTTCTGAATCGTCGCAGATCACTCCCACTCTAACTTAACTAAAGAGGATTCTACTGAAATATAAAGTTCAACTCCCAATTTGCCACAAAATATAAAGAAAGCCCTCGCGGCCCGCGAAGATGGCCGCCATACATGTGAATTGTCTGCTCTTTGGCGTCATTTTTCTTCCAGAATACAGGCGGGTGGGTAGAAATGATGTAGAGTAATTATAGTCGGACGGACTTAATGAATATGAAAAAGTATCGAAATCTTCAAAATATGCTCCGCATCAGGTAAGACCACAGCTGCCTGGCCAATGTATACGTCTTGGCTCAAAGTCTCCAAACAAATGTTCATCCACAACCTGGGCAGTTTCTACCGGAAGTGAAAAAAATTTAAAATTCGAAAAACAAAATGGCCGCCATACTAATTTCGATTTTCCAAAATGGCAAATCCAAGATGGCCGCCATAAAAATTGACTTTACTGAATCTTCGCCACTATTAATATACGAGTAGTTTATTGTGAAGTATAAAAGGTTACGTCTTGACGCGATTATACCAACTACCTGACTCCCACCCACCCAAATAAACCTAACGAAAAACATCACCATTGAAACCAAAGTAATTACCAACCGACTGACGAACTCTTTCCTACATTTAAAGTCACAAGCCTCATACGTAGCCCTCGCGGGCCACTTTAGCGGCCCAGCGCAACATACAACATCCAAGTCGACCTGGTTTCCGTGATAAACGGCACAGTCAACGTGTCAGAGATGGGTGTATGACTTTCAAACAAAATATGTCAAGGACTCTGGTATATATATATTAGTATATCGTTATTTTAAACCAAATTACAAAACACTATATCTTGAAAATTCCACTAATTACGAATTTAAAGTTATTGATCAAAGTGATAGAAGATAATGTGATTTAAGTGAAAGTAAAACATAAATATTGACAAATAAGTGAACTAACTTATTTAAGAGAAGGTGAAAACATAATATATTAGAATTTAGAACTACAATGGCAGATATTATTGAAGATCCCGATAATTAAACGAAGTCATGGCTCAAATGACTTGTATCCAAGCTAAAACTATTAATTAAAAAAAAATACTCAGTCTTGGCGATATGGCACATTAGTGCCTTTGCCTTTTCCAACGGAAAAAACAGTACAAAAAAAACATATGACAGCTGCCAAAGCGCACTGACGTTTTAGTTTAATTTTCCTCATGGGTTTTCAATCTACTATCAAAATTCCTGTGAATAGTGCTATTACAGAAATTTTCCAACTAACGAATAAAAATTTTATGGTACGGGAGGAATTAAGTGTTGATAAATGTATGTGAATTAAAGTATTACTACACTATTATATTGGCGTTGACATTTTCTTTCCAAATGCTGCTGAAAATTCATGATGAAGCCCTTGCGAATATGCGTTGCGTACCTACTTTTCTTTGCAGACGTGGAGGCCCGAGAGGAATACAGATAAATCACACCTTAGACGGGGCATTAGAAGTAAAAAGATGCATGGTAATTTATTAGGTAAATGCAATCTGTTTAAAATAATCTTTTTTGTACATAAGATAAAACATTCACATAAAATATGATAGTTAAGTTTGACTGTCGCTGTTATACCACCCAGATCCTAAACAAATATATTCACATCTATTATGGTTTTGTACAACATTTAAATATGTACATATATATGCTGGGCAGTGTTGCATCTGAATAGAAAATATTAACATTATTATACAATACATTCAAATAAATAAGTATTATGCTAGGTTAATAATGCTAACGAGTAATAAGGGAATTGCAAAATATAGTTTTTTTTTCATTACCAAGCTGAAATACTTCTGAGATAAATCTTTTTTAAGTGGTTGAAAATATTATTCTCCTATCACAGGCATTGCTGTGCTTAAAAGGACTCCTGATACTATGATTGTAAAATATAAACAGTTAAAGAAATAAACTATTATTATTAATTTTTAACAGGTAAAATGACATAAAATTATAACACTCTAAATTCAAAATGGGAGAACCAAACACAGAGACCCAGATAAATTTTGATGAAAATCAGGCAGCAGTGACTACAACCAAATGGACTCCCCAGACAGATACGGCAATATTTATTACGGACAATGGCCAAAGCATCACTCATAGGAAAATTATTAGGGTAAGTTGTTGGACTTCCATAGTGCCCCATCATTTAATATTGGATCAAAACAAGCTGCGCGTTGCTGATGTCATGTTAATCTAGGATGCTACAGTACCAAAATTGTTAGAGCCATTGCTTCTAACTTAAGTTGTTGTTTTAATATGGATGTATGGATGAGGGAAAATGTGGTAAATTATATTTATTTTATATAATTTACCATATATATGTTATAATTTATATCTATATACCTATATTAAAAACTTATATAATTAGTGTTTAGCAGATTAGTTTCTGCAAATGGAATAGAACATTATACTTATACCTTATAGAGCGAGAATAAATACTTAAAATTTCATTTATTCTGGTTACACATATAATTAAAAATATTTTATGGGACAATGCTAAGGTTTAGTCATTTTGCAAAATGTACAGTACAAGCAATGATATTATTGTCACCAAATGTGTCTTTAATAGATTTTTTTTAAATAATCTGATTATTGTACAGTTTAATTAAGATAATTATAAATCACAACACTAATCATCAGGGGAATTTATGATAAAAATTCTTATTAAATATACATACCTAAATCTATGTTAGATTAACGGTTTCAGATGGGTATCTTTGCGATTGAAATCATTTATTATCATTTGAAAACAACTGTTTTGGCCTCTGCAAGTAGAGTAAACTTTTGGTTGGGAATATTAATTATTTTTTATTTTTTTTATTATTTTGTATCCATCTCTTTTTTGTAGCAGTCACCCCTTAAACCATAATCTTAACTATATTTTTTGAATGTACTTTGGAATAAAGAGTCCTGTAATACTTTACTTCCTTAGTCATAACCCATCCAGTTGTGTTCTACTGTTTTAATTTTCTAAATTCCTTGACTTTTTTAAATGACTCAATCAACCCAGACGTTCATCGTCAACCATAGAGCTTGCCAACTCATTTGTTTCCAGCAACTGTCAAGTAATCAAACCATTACGACATTGTAACGATTTAGTTGTTGAACTTGTTTTCCGTATTCATGTGTGACAGTGAACATCAACGAGTCCAATTTTATAGTCGTTCAATCCAAATGTCGTTAAAGCATATTCTGGTATATGAATTGAACTTAAATCGACTCTAAACGACAAGTCATACGTATTGTACAAAAATTTTGACATTTCTTTCAATAGACTTTCGACAACTAAACGTTAAATTTCACAATCACAGATGTCGTCATTAGTCGTTACATTTCGATTCTACTCATATCAAGGTTTGTTGAAGTGATAAGTGAATGCCCATTTTGGATAGAACTTCGATCAAACGACGTAATTTCAATGACATTTTGATAGCTTGAACTTACGTGAATCGCACTACTGTTGTGACTTATACTTTTATTACATGGTTATGTGCCTGTAACATGGGTCTTGTCAACTTATGTCTCTGGGCGATGGGTGCAGTGGCAGTGCCCCTAAGATCTTTGCGATTTAAAGATCTAAGTGGCACTGCAACTGTTACAGATAGGTGTCTCGCTTACCACCAGGCACATGACTTCTTCGTCCTGTCACTTGGGAGTATAAAAAAAATTTAAAAGAAAGTTGACAATTTTAAGTTCCTTTGACTTGCCTACTTCAATACTGTAACTCCATTCCTTGTTTCACACAATATTACAGATTACTTTATACAAATTCAATTAATAGATGGGTAATCCTGCGCTTTTAAGATTATCAATGTTAACGTGGCATTTTCAGGGCCTGCTAGCAATTTCATCTATTGTGATCACCACTAATTACATCTCGGAGCCAATGATAATAGAATTACTGAAGTATAGAATTTTCTTAGGTCAGATACCTTTTTCCGTTTGGATATCTAGGTAGGCGTGAATTTCATTATGGCCATTAAATGGCAATGGTGGCTTAGGTTAGCTTGTAGATTTTTTCGTTACAGTGCATTGACTTACAATTATATGGACGTCGGGTCCGCGCTAAAAAGTGTCCGAACTTATAGGGCGTTAAAATCGTATACAGAGCGTCATTCACGCTTTAGTCTTCGTTTTTCGACTGACAGCGAAGCAAGCAAAATTAGACAGTACTGCGATGACATTACAATTTAAATTCAACGTTTTAGCTTTTTCATATTCCTTTACATGTCACTACGTTTAAATAGGTTGACTTGGGATATTTTTTGTTGGTTTTTGTATTAGACCCGTCGTCCATTTATTTGTAAGTCAATGTTACAGTGTCTCTGATGTCTTTTGGTTTGAGGTTGGACATGTGCTTATTTAAACCACAGGGTTCCATGAGCAATCAGTTTTAAGAGGCGAATCTTATACTGGGATAGATGCTCAGTTTTCCATAATCCTCGATGTTTGGGGAGACTGAAGCCAAGAGTGGCGGGCAGCTTGACTGTCTGACTCTATTTAAAAGTCCACCACTAAATATAATAATACCTACCCATGTATTTGTAAACATGCTACTATCAGCGAACCTTATTGAAATCGATTGTAATGAAACAAAAGTCTTTGTGATTTTAGTAAAATGGAAGTGTATGAACGAACTCTTTGTTATCTATTGTGTTTTTATTACTTTCATATTTTAGAAGAAAGACATGTTTAATTTTTCGTATTCTTGAAAGTAAAAACGATTGTAATCAGTTGTTTTTATTTTCGAGTATATAAGTACAACAGTACTTACTGAGCAGGCAGCTCTCATTATAATTAGTTCGCTGGAAGTATGGTATACATTAGGCAGGAAGACACGGTCGAAAACTTTACTGCAATTGAAGTTGCTACAACTATGAAGCATAATATCTACACCATGAATGGTTGTGCTAACACAGATATCCATACTCTGAACGTCTTGCCAATGGTTAATATCATACATATAAATAGTGTTGTGCTCTGTAGTAATTATTAAGATCGGATGATCTTAATAATTACACAATAAATACACAATGATGGATCATCAGTATTTGTTATAGAAAGCGATCAAGGGTTACGTCAGAACACAAGCAGCTTCCTTTCTAACGTATATTAGAACGCTTGTGGAAGCGCTACAGTGGCGCATCTGTGGAGCTGCAGCTGTGCTACTACTAATTTTCATACAATATCTCGTCTGCAAAAGAGAGGCGCGGGTGGCGCTGCAGCTGCCCTACTAATGTCCACTTGTACTAAATTTAAGTATATCAGTCACAAGTACAGCATTGGTTTATGCTTAAATTGATAAGACATTTAACACCATGCATTCAGAGTGTCTTTTGCATTGTAAGCATAGGTTTAAGACATTTTAGTCTAGTGCAAATAGTCAGTTTAGTGCAAGTGGATATTAATATTGTATTGAAAATTAATAATGGCGCCACACATACGCATATAAACGTCTAATTTAAAGGCGCACTTAGTTTGCAACACTAGCAATTAAAATGTGTTGATGGAAAATGCTTCTTTTGATTCATCGTTTTTCTTTCTCCACAGAGATGGAATCGCCTATCACGACTGCAAAGATCAATAATATACGGGCTCTTAATTGTTTTTGCAGCGATATTAGTATTCTTGTATCCGACAATATTTAGTAATACAATGCGTGGGAATACTAGGAAAACTAATGTTAAGTTGCCGCTGGGTCTGGTAAGTGTGATTTACTCATTTTTACGTACTTATACCTATTATCCCTTCGGTTATTTTTTTAATATTCTTTTAAGCTTATTTATATTGAGCTTCATAGTAACTAACATTTTGATGGATGACTGATGGATTCTTAACGAATAATAATTCCTGATAGCATTTTTCCAAGTGACATGAAAGAAATAAGCAGCGACACGTAAATGTAAAATGCCATAGAGTAACTTACCTTATAAATGTATTTTTTTCTTAACGTACCTGCTGTACATTTTAATCACGGAATATAAATTTAGTAAATGATATCGCGATCAATCGTGCTATGATATTAAAATAAAAGTGAAAATGTATTTTATTTGTCAGTTATATATTTGTCGGATTGTCAGGCAAGTCTTTTCAAAGAGAGATCGACCGCGCTACGAGCTAATATATTTTAATCTTATTAATATGGTATTTAATTAATCAAATAAAGCTCAATAAAATTGTATGCATACGATCTATAAAGTTTCTTTTGGGTTCGTGAGTTTCCTGTTGAAATTTATATTTAAAAAAATACAGGACTTAGGTGTATATAACCCATAATTTTCGACCAAGAACCTTTTTAACATATTTTAACTACCATGCTCGCAGGAAAAGTACCTACTGTATTCATTACATTGAAAAGATTTATCCGTCCACACAACTAGCATCTTTCTTGAATGAACATTAGATTACGAAACCTAAAAATAGGGCGCGGATGCTTCCAATCGAGTGATATCTCGCCCACACACGCTCGCTTCATGGCAGATGGAAACTGCAATGATATTATCATAGACGAATGCGGCCGCGTGGCCTTGTCAAGCAATCCCCTTAATAATGTTGTCACATTGTCCGACACGTTTAATATAATTATTTTGTTTATGGATTTTGATATTAAACTACTACTGATAAACTGTGATTCTGATCATTACGTTATTGTCACAGCCGGTGCCGTAGGTATTTTGTCACCTTTATTAAATAAGACTTGCGTGACATACCTACTGACTATTATAGTTCTTGTCAATTAAGGCGCATTGACCCTCTAAGCCACCTCGACACGACAGCCTCGAACGTTCATATAAAATTATACAGAGTTGGCTAATAATACAGAGTTTGCTCGCAACGTGCTGATCGTTGTCGACAAAACTACAATATGCATCCACGGGCAACCGTACCAATTTTTTATTTCTATTTTAAAAACAAATGCTCCCTTGCATGTTTTACATATACGTGTCGTTTTTATAATACATCTTATATACATATATCATGTACTATACGTACAGTGCTAAAATGAAATGTATGTGATCACCATCAATGGATGCGTCAATTCGTGTAATAGAACTTATCTAATCAACCTCTCATTTGAAACCGTACGGCTGCTGCGGTGTTTAACAACTACCGATTAGATTACCTAGTTATCACTTAGTGACATGCAGGAGCCTTGAATTGCGGTAGGGACCTATGAATGTTATTTCATCAACGAAGTTTAATTTTGTTCATAGTTTTTTAAACTTCGCCCGGAGTACGTACGTATTGCAGCGTTATGTTTATCTTGTATTCTTTGTCATAACTTGATTTAGCTGTATAATATTGATATAGTAGTAGGTAATGCATGCATGCGTGATAAACCATTATGTAGACTTAACCTTGGTTATATATTCACAATCATAATTTATGATAAGATGCCATCAAGTGTTGAATAGAACCTCGCAAGTGAATTGGAATAAACTGAAAATGTTTTAAAGACTGGCAAATTACTTTTAGCTTCTGAAATGATAACGTCAGAACTGACTTTTTAAAGTTATTTTTATCAAAATAAAAAATAAGTTAAATCAGGCTCTACCTATCCTAACGTTTTGTTTAAACTGTTTAATACTAGTAACTTTACATAAGGTATTCGCGTTGCTTGTTAGTTTCTATTCAACCCTAGGTTTTATTCACCCCGTATGATTGTAGTGTTAAAAACATTTTCTATAATCGACTCGTGGTATACGAGTTACTAGGTAGTCGACGCCAAATATTTAAACAGTTTCTTTGCTAGCACAAACTGAATATGAAGAGGAAAAGCATTTTTTTAATTTTAGCACATCATTAGTTAATGAAGCATCTATGCAAAAGGTGATTTTTAGAAATAATATTGCAATCTGATTCAAGATTGCAGTCAACTACGTAGCACCCTATATCGATACACATAATGAGTAATTTTAAAGTATACCTAATTAACTTCCACGTTGTCAAATTACGAGACCACTTTGTTTGGTATCAACAGTAGGTAGTAAAAACAATTGCACCTATAATTGTTTATTTGATTGGGTTGAAAGTATTAAACATTGCACTATTTATAAACTGTATGAGTCTTAATATCACTGAATTCAAACAAATGTCTTCATCTTAGAGCCTATGCACACAGAGTATTTTATACGCGTCGACGATGCTTATTTCACGAACGCGCGTTTACGGCGCCGTAGAGGCTCAAAAAGCAAAATGTTGCGTTTGTATCGATTTAAACGCGCGTAAAACGTGATACACGAGAAGCGCGTTCGAATCTCGTTCGCTTTTTACGCACGTTCGATTCAAACACGCGCAAATATAGCGTTGCAAGCAAGAAGCTTATATACTCCACTGGAGTTTACACTTACAATTTCATGTTGAAGACAACTTTTGCTGTAATTTTTTATCCTTTCCACACTTCGTGTCTAATACAATGCATGCTAAATAAACACCCAAAAAACGAATAGTAATAATTTAGTACAGTACCTAAGTGATTTCTCTTAAATCTGTTTTAGTATATGTTTAAAAAGACGCAGTGTGCGCGCTTTTATATTTTTTAGTTGCTTTGTCTCCAAAATTAACTGAAATTAAAACTACCACTTTTTAAAATGCGCGATAGTTACGCGTGACTTCAGTGTGTTTTTTGCAGCGCGTATACAAGCAGATCACGCGCGTTTAAGGCGCCTCTGAATTTGTGAACGTATGCAATACGTTGTCGTCGTCTATGTCCTCGGCGCGTATCAAATAAGCCGTGTCAATAGGCTTCTTCTTATATCTTACAATAATCGACGACAAACTCAATGCAAAATTAAAAAGTATTGGAAATGAACATATTTTTCTCTCTTTTTTTTCCAACTAACCCACGCCTCCAACCTCTTTACTGCCATTCGCAAACTTAAACGCGGCTAAGTGTCAAAATATTTTTTTTTGAGATATAAAACACCGTAGCCCAGTTTTAGAATATTGAAATTGTTTAATGATATTTCAGCTATGTATCGTTAGGGTAAGTTCCGATAAGTCGAACACGTTCTAATATTTACTGCGTAACTTTAACCGTGTAGTGTGTTGTGTGGTTTAACAATTTTTAAAAGAGAATTTTGTGCTCTATCTTTACTATTTATAACTGATATTTCACCATTACCCGCGTTTTAGCTAGTGGACGGCAGTTTACAGGTCCGATAGTCACGGTACTAACTTATGTAACTATAGCTTAGACTTTGGTGGTTTGCATTGATATTAGTCGTAACTGGTTGGTGACTTTATTATCTCGCCATGACCATGGGACCTGGCCCTGTCTCTCGTTCACCGTCCGAAACAATGACTGTCCAATAAGTAATACTCGATTAAATTACAAGATGCGTGACGCGAATGAAGCTTCGTGCTTCACATTGTCAGTTTCTCACAGTGCTACTTGTACACCGTTTAGGTTCACAACGGCATGTACAGTCGTATTATTCTATTTAATCTTCTAATGTAATGGAATAAATGACCCTCAAAATTGGTGAATGTAATGAATTGCATATTACATCGTTTCGGTAAACGGGTGTCGGCGTTAAGGGAATAGGTTTCAGCGTTACGCGGTTTGATTTTTGGTCCTCATGTAGATATTGTTACAGGCATCTTCAAATAATTTGTCTCTAGTCAACGAAGCGAATCTGAAGGTATCTGCTCTACGCAATAAAGTATCTGTGAATTTAGAAGAAAACGAGAAGCGGCCACTATTCAGCGGTAAAAACCAATTTCTGAGTATTTTTTTTACATAACTTACTAATACAAAATATCAATGGTTAACCTGTCTTAACAATATAGATTTTAAATTTTGTAGTTTTTGACTAAACGATTACAAAAAAACCTGTACACTTTTCGTTTGTCTTAACCATTGTAAATTCTTATTAATTTGCTGATCGAGAAAGTAACGTGCAAATTTTAACACTTCGTTTGTTGATTGCAGGAGGTTTTTTAAGTAAGCAAAACATTTTTAAACATTTTTTGTCTGATATTTTGATAAGATAACACATTCTTATAATAAGGTAGGTACTTAATACATACCTAAGATTGGAGTAATTTTGTTACGCTTATCCAGGTTAATTTTAAACAAGCAACTTTAATATATCTATTACGATTTATTGCTATCATCACATAAATGTACACATAAAGTTTTATTTTGTTAAAAAAAAATTATATAATTAAATAATAATGTCATATCATAACATAAATAAGTACGTGGAGTGGAGTCATTTGCCTGTCAGGTATATATAAAAAAAAAAAAAAAAAAAAAGTACGTGCTGGAGTTATGTATTTACAAATTGTAATCCTTGCCATTCCAAGACTTTTATTGCAACGTAATTGTGTTCAGGGACTATACTTAAATATTAGAACACTATCTGTTTCCATACCCAACATTGTCCAATATAATATACCAATGCAATCTGTCTGTAAAAGGCTTTAAAGTTTTATGAACCATTTTTATCGGACAGCGACAAAAGAAATAACGAATAACAATAACAAAAATGCCTTCACTCCGACTGGGCTCGAACCAGTGTCTGTTGCCACAACGTGATTATATTCGATCTTGTGTCAATAATTATTAAAAAAACTAGTGGAGTCTTTTCACAAAAAATATATGAATATCATGGTAGTAAAACATCGTGATGTTCAATAAAATACAGTGCTCAAAACTGTCTACGGATCAAATACATATGAGAATTCATATATGATTGATCCCTGGACACTTGATGTGTGTATAAGACCAAAAAGCTATATAAAGTATGCAATTTTCAGGACCATCTACCTGGCGTCAGTACGCGGTGGTACAAAGCTTTAAACATGCTTGGAAGGGCTACAAAGAACATGCTTGGGGCCATGATAATGTGAAACCTGTCTCGGGAATGATCTCCGATTGGTTCTCCCTAGGTCTCACGATAGTCGACAGTATTGATACTGCTTATATTATGGGTCTTCATGAAGGTAATATTCTCTAACAATATTTTGAAATTAGGAATGTTAACCACCAACAACTTAAAAAATCACAACTATATTTTTTTTGCTCTGTAGAATATGAAGAAGGTAAAAAATGGGTAAAGGAAGAATTAGTTTTCACTAAGAACAAGGACGTTAATTTTTTCGAGGTGACCATCAGAGTGCTAGGAGCTTTGCTCACCAATTACCACTTTACTGGCGACGAAATGTTTCTCGATAAAGCGGTGAGTTTCAGAAATATTATTTGGGCCCATGAACGATATCAGCTCGAAGCAGCGGCCTACGTATTACATGTCAATAAAGCCCCTGTTTTCCCAAAAAAAATTAACAAAAATGTTTCGATACATTAAATGGGCGCAGCTGTTCCACACAAGTTAGTGTACTTATAAATTCGTGTATATAATAAAAAATAATTTTTTTTTTACAATTTTCTAGATATTTGTATCATTTGAAATTTCTTGTAACCTTTCTGTGAATTACTATGTTTTTGTCATGTAAACATAATGGGACTTTTTATTCTGAGATCAAATAAAGGTTCTTTCTTTATATTCAACTTTCATTACAGAGGGACTTAGGGGAAAGATTAATGCCAGCTTTCCACTCACCGTCGGGCATTCCGTATTCCGACGTGAACTTAGGCATGGGAACCGCACACCCTCCCGAATGGTCACATTACAGCACAACGGCTGAAGTCTCCACAGTTCAGCTTGAGTTCCGAGAACTTTCGAGAGCCACTAAAGACCCTCAGTTTGAGGTAATTTAACTATTTACTGTATACTTAATAAAGACTATCAACCAATCTGTATCAACCCACGACCTTTAAAGTATATAAAGTTAAGTCATGTTATCGTAGAGCTTGTCTAATCTTGAAGCGTTTCCGTTACTGTGAAAGCGTAAGGTGATATTTTAAATTTTCGGTTTTTAGATGGCAGCCTCCGCAGTGTCCGAAAAAATACACGCACTGCCGAAGAAGCATGGTCTGGTGCCAATTTTCATTAACCCGAACACAGGACACTTTTTGCCCCATGCTACGATAACAATTGGCGCACGTGGAGACAGCTATTACGAATACTTACTCAAGCAATGGCTTCAGACCGGAAAAACTATCAACTAGTAAGTGTTCAATTTTGTTTGGTTTTTCTCAAACGTTGTAAGTACGTTTAAGAATTTTGGCTGGTGACCACAAACGCTTAGTTACGAATTTGAAGTTCTCAATTCGCACCCTTGGTGTAATAAGGCCACATCTGCAAAATGACAATCTTTCAGGAAATTGGTTTGAAGATTCTACGAAAGAAATTAGTCGATAACTTTTTTATGCTCAAATAGGAGAGTTATAAAAATTCACATATACATAATTTGTTTCTTTGTATTCTCTTCATGATTCTCATGGGATAAAAGTACTTTTGACTTATGACGTACATGTGGCTTTATTCTACCAAAGCTACGAATTATATTTATTGATTAATGGAAACTAAGTGTTCGTAATAATTTAAATTGTTATTGTATTATTACGTTTATGCGAGGAAATATTTCATATTTTGATATGTAACGATGTCCACTTAATATACACTGTTTTAGTTTTTAATTTTAGGTATTGTGTCGATTTCATGTGTCGTACATGCGACTAGATAAATGATATGTATAGCACACATTGAAAACTCAGTTTTTAAATTTACATTTCAGAGATTTTAATGGCCATTTCCCGAAAGTGTTCTTTTTCGTTTAATGACATTATTGGTTTCAATATGATGTATATTTGAACGGCTGGTTAAATATTGACATAAACGTGTATTGGCTGTTTAGTGAATGCAAAGCGCTGTGCGTCATTGCTTGATTTTTGTATTGCTTGAATATCAAAGTATGTTTTTTTTAATATGTCGAAAAGCAAATCTAAATTATTTTTAAACTAAAACATGTAAGAAAGTTCTCGTTGTGTTTCTTGCATTACGTAATATATATTTTGAATAAAGTATATATTTTATAAAATTCCGTACCACTTTGAAAATACTATAATTTGATGAAGAAAAACATCGTGAGGAAACTTGCACACATCTAGAAATTTAATTAAGCGTGTGCAATTCCCCATCAGCATTGGGCGCGCGTGGGAACTACAGTCGAAGCGCTCTTATTGTGAGAGGAAGCCTGTGCTCAGCAGTAGGACTATATCTGCCTTCCGTGTCATAACAAAACGCATTTATATTGTGGTAACTTTCGACATATTAGCGTCTACAGTTTTTTTATTTGAAATGTCAATGACGCTGATTTCGCTTAACAATAAAATTGAAAATAAATTAGATAAAAAGAAAAGCGCTTATAGAGGGTCGTAGATCTCGTTTCGCTTATTCCAGATATGTTAATAACTCAATTTCGCTAAAATGTTGACTACGTTAGTTATGATACGGAAAGCAGATATTATGGGCTAACTATTAATATACCATTAGCAACCACGAAACAGTTCTCAAGTGCGTGACTACGTTGAGTGTGTGCGTTATTAAAAAAAAAATTAGGCTATCGACCAACGAGTATATAACACATAGAGACGAAATATCATTTAATTTGTTTGAAAACTACTCTGCCATATCATTACAGTGACAACTGCGCTTCGATTGGCCAGCCCAATTTCGAAACAATTGACTGGTGTCGTCAATTGTTTCACTTCAAATCGACCAGTTTTACTAGAGCTTTGCTATAGTGGACGAAAATTGCAAAGTTACATATTTAATTACCGATGAAATGTGATTCCTTTGTTTTGTAATTAGATGTTTTGCTGTTTTTCCCACACCACCGAATGGAACAGCCCCCATTGTTAGGGATATAATATTTTTGGAATATACGGAGACGTACACATGTCAGTTGTTGGCGCTGTACTATTTCAGTTTTCTAATTTGTGATTTCAGCGCAAACGAGAGTTGATATTTAAAAGTGATATAAGATCCATTTACCTGATGAGTTGCCAGGTATGGACGGCCCTTATTTCGTCTCTATTTCTGGTTATATTATATTTTTATTATTATTTTATTTATGGTTATACTCGATGCTACCGACACATGCGCACAATTTATAAAACTCTTTATTTGCTTTCATAAAACTTCAAGTTTTAAAATGCTCTGAGATAAAAACTTGTTTAACAGGAGAATTATAAACAAACAGCAAAAAGACAATGTATGTATTTTAATAAATAACCGCGAACAATATAATATACATAGCGTATAAAATAATCCGGACCTTGTTAGTAAAGCCCTTGAAAATAATTGCTATTTTACGATCCAAACTTTACGTTACAGTGCAATGTTATGTGTAGTCGTAAAACTTTATTACAAATTAAATTATCAATATTTGTATATTTTTTACAATGTACAATATACTGAAAATGAAATGTCTATGAATAAAACAAAAATGATGGCGACATCTCGTGTATTTTGTGACCCCGTGTTTTTGACGACGTGCACCTATCAATACTTGTTATTCATTATCAAAGAATTAAAAAAGCTAATTGAGTACAACCTGTAGAAGCTGGGGTTATAAAGTTGATATAGGTTATATTTGTAACATTGTCCTGTATTTCGCTTCAGGTATTTGTTCGTAGTAGCAGAAAACAAAAAGTTTTCAGTTTGTTCCCAAAAACAATAAAGAACTCCCGAATATTCCCAAATCTGCCAAACTGCCACATTTAATACAACTTATCATGTTCTGCAGCAATGAAAATAATAAAAATCAAATCTGCCCAAATGGCAGAAATCTGCCTCAAATTGTCACACTATTTTAAATGTCAATGTGACATTGACTTTCGCAAGAGGTCTCTTGTCAAAACGTTCCTTTGCAACTTTCATTGTCTCTCATTTAAATATTGTCTAAATACTTTTGTCACATTGTGTTTTATTTTTTGTTTTATGTCATTACTGTTTAATCGATTATTTCATTAAGTATTTTACAGCTATAATGTTTTATGTGTGTACTATAAAATAACCAGTACTTCAGGTAGGTAAACATCAATAATGTTTAAAATGAAACGTACGTATACGAACGTTACTTAATCTATGGTCGAACTGAATCAATTGCGTTATGTTCTTGCATCTATTCTAAAATACAATGTTTTTTGCCATTTTTTTATTCCCGACAACTAAAAATATACAAAAATATATTGATAACTAGGCATAAACTAAAACGCAAAATTATACCAGCAAAGTCCATATACGGCTATTCGTCGTTATCATGGCAGCTTTCGCCATCCTTTTTTACAAAATTACTAAAGTTTGCTACAATTTATTATTCTTATTGTAATATATACTGCCCTGGTAACGAAAAAAGGCACAACTATTCGTACTTTACATAGCAGTTGTGCCTTTTTCCGTTCCGAGGGCAGTATAATTAAGTAAATCAGTTTGAAAACACTTTTAGCGAGTTTTGTTATAATAAACACTGTCGGCGTTCTTTTAATCACAGATCAAATCAACGGAACTGTGATTTTAATACAAAGATCGAATACTGAGGAAAAAAATCTTAGTTCGATGGAATGGAATCAAAAATTGCTTGTAGAATGTAGTGCCTTTCGTTTTATTGTATTGTCTTAAGAAGGTTTAGACCGTAATATCTTGGATAGGATGTTAGTTCTTGGGTGTCATTGTAGAAGAAAATAGAAACTAAAAGAATGAAGGGAGTCAATAAAATTTCCATTTCGTTCCAGCAGGAACAAAACTCTTATTCGTAATGCTACTGCTTTATAATTTAAATCAAATAACTGTATGAAATTTAAATTTGTAAATCAATAACATTATGAATGCGCCTTTCCTTGCGTTGTGTAGTTCCTACTTGATTTAATTATTATATTATATAATTAAGTTCTGAGTGTGCCAAAAGAAGAACACACATGTGGTGTTCAACAATATTATGTGTATTCTTGACCATTACCGGCTATAACATAAATTTGCGTTTTATTTTTCTTGTATTGTATTTCACGTCAAATAAACTTAGGAAAATGAAACTATTTTTTCGGATTTAAATCTTTTATATTTGTTTTTTAAACTAACTAAACGTTTCGGGTCCTTTACAGGTCCTATGGTCACGGCTGACCGCGTATATTTGTAATGTCAAATTACTTACTAGCATTGAAATATTCGTCCATACAGTATCTATGGAACTCAAATAAACCTATTACAATTTTTAAAATTTTAACAAGTTGATAACATGGTTGTTTTAATTTCAGCTTATTAGAAGACTACATGGCAGCTGTGGAGGGTATAAGACAGTTTCTAGCTAAGAGATCGTCACCTAATAAATATTTGTTCATCGGTGAATTGTCAGCTGGCTCAGAGGTGTGTATTGTACCCACTCTTTGCTATTATCTTCTCGGGAAATTCAACATTAACTAAATGGATTTTAGTCCAATACCCTGAGGCCATTGGAACTATATTGTCTGTTACCTTTATTTATTAGCATATATATATCTGAATTTGTCTAGTTTTCATGAGCCTATATGTACATATGTAAGTATATGTTTGACTTTCAGTAAATGAAAAACATATATGTGCAAAATCCACACACCTGAGAAAATACTAAATACCTTACAAATTACGTCGTACCTCTATATTGAGTCTTCATGGTATTTTTTTTTTCGAGATTCTGTTGTGGGTTACTGTTGCTTACGATATATAAGAACGTTAGAGCACGAAAATTTTAATGTGGACGGATTAATTTTATTACGTGGATTTTTCAAAAATGGTAGATACTAATTTTTTGATCTCGATTGAAGCTGACAGTTTTCTAAACTATCTATAAAGTCTATAAGTATAGATAACGAGTACCTCAATTTGAATTTCAGGCGTTTAACCCTAAGATGGACCATCTAGTATGTTTCCTACCTGGTACGCTTGCCCTTGGCCATGCCAACGGACTACCAGACTGGCACATGACTATGGCAGAGGAGTTGCTCTACACCTGTTACCTCACCTACGCCGCGCATCCCACTTTCTTGGCACCTGAGATCACGCATTTCAATATGGTTCGTATCTTATTAAGTTTTCAATGTTTTAAAAGCGAACGTTCAATGACACTCGTTACCCTAATGAGATTTCAAATTGGACCTTAATAAATTTTATCTGCACTATTTTGCGTCATTAAAGTGCAGATATGTTCGAGTCTCGTTTTAACTCTCTCACATTCTTTTACGAAATGTACACACAAATTGATTTTGTACACATTGTACACATTGAATGTACACACATATTAGTCTTCTGACAGTCTACTTGCATATCGTTAATTATAGTGGGATCGACCTTTAGTGAGTAACGCATTTTTTTTTTCATTTAACATTTATTTCTTTTTATTATGATTTACTTGCAGCCAAATGATAAAGAATCTTCAGATCTTTATGACAACGAGGTAAATGATAATTTTGTGTTAATGTAAAACTAATCCTACGGGCATTTAAATCGGGCAAATTAGAAAATTGTGTTTCTTCGGGGCTTTATTGAATTTTTTAAACCTGTGACGTTTGTTCCACATTTTTATTGGGAGCAGTGCATAAAATAGTGTTATCTGATATGTAACCTGACGAACTGACGTTCGGTAAATATGTACCCCAGAAGGTATATTCCGTCTATGTATGTCAAAACGTTAATACGTTACGTTGGTGCTTTGTACATATAATTTCAAAATCCTTGGTTCATTATTATATTACTTATGTTAATTTATATTTTGCAGTTAACCCTACTTTGTTAGCTGCCCGATTTTATTGTCCGCGATTTTACAATCTAATAAAGGCTGGTAAAATTTGGATTTTTTTATTAGAGACAGTAAACTGACAGCTACTAATGTACTACTTTGCAATATATTTGCCTTGTTTACTGTGTAGTAACGTGTTTGGTTCAGTTTTTAATGAACTCACTGAAACAGAGTCAGTCAAAAAGAAACGTTAAGTATTTTGTTATTATTGATACTACAATCGATAGAACAAACACAAGGAAAAATTCCTTTGATCTAGCTGAACTCGAACCAGCGACCTTGCTGTACCGGTGGTATGACTTCCCTAACTGAGCTACGGAACGAGTCAGCAGACCTTACGAATTTCGCTATGTGATTTTTGCAGATCTTTGTTTTTATTTTAACGTCTTTTTTGCCGTAGCTCCACCTATGAGAAATCTATGAAAGTTTTTCTTCACTCACCCAGTAACCTTTACAGCTACCATAGGCTGACCAGACATGTCGCTTTATTAATTGCAATATTTATTTTATATTATCATGGTTTTACTACCATGATATTCATTAAAATAAATATTGCAGTTAAAACATTGTTTTACTATTAAACTGCTAAACAATCATTCGTTTACATTTAATCTTTACATATTTCTATCATTTTCCTGTTATACATTCTAGTACAAATTAATAAAAATGTGTAATTGACCTACTGTGTCGGTCGGTGAAGTCCATTCTTTAAGATTAGACAATTATTATATCATCAAAAGCTAGCAGCATATTAGTTAACGCCTAATAGTTAAGATGCATTGTCGACTTGAACTATAAGGCGTGCTGCAGTTTCAATGGTGGCTCTGAACTAACCACAATGATTGGTGTGTCTTATTTTGCACGAAGAGTTGACAATTACGGTTAGTTAACTGTTGAATTATCCACCCATTTTGTACACAAATTATTAGAATTCTAACACATTTCAGCAAAAAAATTTAGAATCCGTCAAATATCGTAAGAAATTTGAATGTCAATTTTCATGATTAATGTAACAATCGACTTGAATATTACAGGCCAGTGCGACAAACGACATGTACACAAAGATAGCGGATTCTCACAGCTTGCTGCGGCCAGAATTCGTCGAGAGTCTGTGGTACATGTATCAGATTACAGGCAACGTCACGTACCAAGACTGGGGTTGGCAAATATACCAGGTAACAATATTTTCATCGTATTTACTGAAAGTAATTCTAGTAGTGCAGGTCCTGCACCGCTGTGACATCTATAGGTCCTTTTGTTCCACACACTGCTGCTCATATTTTTTGAAGGCAGAGTTAAACACAACATTTTTTACATAGGAAGGTTTATTATTCCAATAAAAATAAGTGCGACGCTATCACAATAGTAAGTTTTCATAGGGAAGTGAATAGTAGTATATTTGTTTTTTTCAAATCAACCAACGTTTCGGGCCCTTTACAAGTCTCATGGTCACGGAAGACTAGGTTGGTAAAGTCATGATTGGTTGACTTTAGATCCATACGCGATTATATCTGAAAAAAATGTTTAATTTCCTATGTGTAACAATCGCGAAAATCTAAGAACTCTGTACAAAACTGCCTCCGTGGCCGGACGGTTGCCATGCTTTGGATTGCCAGGCAGAGGTCCTGGGTTCAATTCCCGGGCCGGGATAAATATTTGTATGGCCTACATTTTGGTTTTGTCGTGAATTTGAGTGTAATTTGTGGTTGTCTATGTGTGTGTCCATGGCACCCGCTTTACATGGTTTCCCTATTGCGGGGCTATGAGCGTACGAGTTATTATTTTCATAAGGAAGTTAAATATTAAAAATAATGTGCCAAACTAGAACAATTAGTGCTCTCAAACTAAGCAATTCTCTACATTACGAATGCTGTATAAAAGTTGCATGTACTCATATGATGCACTTTCGTTTCAGAGTCTCGAGAAATATGCAAAAGTGACGAACGGTTACACATCTCTGGCAAACGTGAAGGTGGAACGACCAGTTTACAAAGACATGATGGAGTCTTTCTTCCTGTCAGAAACACTTAAGTATCTGTACTTACTCTTCAGTGAAGACCGATACCTGATCGATTTAAACAAGTACGTAATAAATTCTGAGGCACACGCCTTGCCAATACACAGGAATTAATATATAAGTAAAATCCATATATTCAATTACCTACGGCAATCTCTCTGCTGTGATTTTTTTACAATTTTATGAGGTGTGGAAAAAAGTTAGTCACATTTTATTACATTTGCCAATTTGGATAAGCGTTTTTCTTTGCCTATATTACAATGTAACATAATCTGATCAGGGTGGATTTTTTTGACCTGCCAATTATGGTTGTTTACATGTTACTCTGAAATTGGAAATTTTTAATGTGATATTAATGCAAGTTTCATATCAATTTCCAAGGAGGAAGGACTAATTTTGTTATCTGCTGTGTAACAACATTTCAATAATTTATATAAAATGTATATAGCGTGTGTGGATTTGATGGCAATCATTTTATACTTAAATAAACTTGTGCGTAGGATATTAGCCGCTTTATATATAGTCTAAGCTAAAATGTCAATATATTGTACAATGACATTTGTGACGTGCAAGTACAGTATGTACTTACCGTTAGACAATTTTACACCTCACGTTACTCATACAACGTTATGTATTACCGCATGTGTGAATAAGTACTTAAGATTGCTTGTTAATTAATTACTTAATACAATAAGTCTTGATGTTATGCTTTAATGAATTTTAGTCATAAAAAAATGTTTAGAAACGTGATTTAACTACAGCAATTTTGATGGGCTTTTAATAGATTATCAGAAAAACATATCAGATGAGCCCACGATAAACAGCTTTCACAAAAAAAATGACAAAGCAATTTTTTTTTCTCCTACTTTAAAATATTAATTTTTGCTAAAGTTGTGTGTTCGGTATATACTTAGTGGTCGGATAATCAGATACATTACCATTGGTAAATAATTACCAATGTTTCGGTTGCTAGCTAACACGGAATGTAATTTTCTATCGAAAAAATTGCCGCGACACGGGGTTTGACGAAATTATGAAGTATAAAACTGAAGTAAAATAAACGTTACTGATATTTGCAACAACCCTGAATATGACTTCCTACTGAAATAACGTCTCCTTCAACACAATTGAACGTAGCTTAGTACCTTAACAAGTGAGACAAAACAGCTATAACCATTGGTGATGCCAATTAAGTCTTTTTTAATAATCTCACACATCACAATCTCAATCTCCCATCAAATTGCGCGGAGTTATTTCATGTTCTTTTTACAGCTGGATATCAGTTACACTGGGTGTAAGGGACATGGACATGGAACGTGTGCTGTCCCATGCTAGTGATGAAAGATACTCAGTCTTTTAAGGTCTATTAAAAAGACTCGACTTCACTTTACAGGACTTAACTCAAAAATTAGGACTGGAGGTTCGAGTTTTATAGATAAGACTCGGTGGTTATGCTAATAATTTGAGAAGTCGAGTAGGCCTTTACCGTGCATGATATTCAAAAACATCTCATGTTCTTAAGCTATAATGCAATGGAGTTATACCTTTTTTTATGTCTTATTGAACCCGAAGTTTATAAAAAAAAAACTATGTGTATTCAGCCTATTGATGTATGTACTACAAAAATTCGAGAGTAACGAGTACATGTCATACTGAAAATAGATATTCTCGACCAGCACGGTTTCAGTGAATTCCAATCCACTGACCTTTCCTTAAGCCCCAACAAAAACTACCCCAAACTAGAAAACAAAGGTAAATAGATAAAGTGATTATTCTTACTTATATTTTAATTCCCTAAATGTAAATAATGTAGATGTTAAGGTCCCGACGACTCATGAGTCGCTGCTCCGGAGACTATAAGGCGCCAGTCCTTTTATGCTCAGGCATGCTCACATAAGTTTTTTAAGTAATGACTTAGGTTTATTATACCTGGCGCTAAAAGACTGTGACTCAAATTAATCTTCAGTTTTTGTCGTATGACTCAAAACTTAAGGGTTAAAAGGCTAATTCAGTCGCGAGGCGTTAAAAATTTGTCGAACTTTTTTAATAGGCCTTAAAAGACTGTGCCTTAAGAATATAACACTGTTCTATATTCATATTCTTAGTTGGTTTTATGAAGTTTAATTGTTAGCCTGTTTAGCTTTTTATCTTACTATTTGAACTTCATACACTGGCTTTTTTTTATTAAAACATTTTCTGAAGGCTTTGACTTCAAAATCATGACATCAATATAAACGAAGCAGTCACATTACTTAAAAATACGTACACAGCCAAGTGGTCAATATATCGTACATATTTTTTGTTTGATCGCTTAGATAGTTTTGAAACTGACTGTACTCAATGAAGTCATTGACTGTGATGGATCTCATTTAACTTCATCCTTGTTTCACTATTCTCGCAAACTACTATGTACTCTGCATACTGCGCTCTGGGCACTGTTAGTTCTGTCATAAAGACCAAATCTTTGTGGCATGTAACGACTGTTGACGAACAGGGAATTCTGCAGAATTTGTAATTTCTTAATGATATCAGTTAAATAACAAATTAAATGAAAAATAACAAAATGTTGACTCGGATATTTTGAAACGATGTTATTATGCCCCACATATATTTTATCAGAATTGATTAACATTGCGTGTCTAAGATAAAAAAGCGTGATATAGTCCGTTCAGGAAAAAAAATATTACCCCGCGACCCTGTTTTAAAGGCACGCGTACCGACTAAGCCTAGTTTTGTGCATTGAATATATTTTTTTTACAAACAGAACTGACTAAATCATATCTAAGATTGGTGATGTGGTTGTCGCGATTGAAGAGTGAAGTGACGCTTTAATAAAAGTTTCCTAGTGTGCATAGTAAAACACCCTTAAAACTTCCTACCTTATGCTAAAAGTCGCCACAAAACATTTGATACGGTCATCCGATATTTAGAGCGGCTAAATGTCGGATGACCGTATCGAATATTTTGCGATTACAATCGACCTGTGCGTAATTCAATCACCTTATTAGTCAAATTAAAAATACTCGTTTATGACAACCTGATTAAAATCACGTGTTAAAATTACCTCAGTGGACTACAAAGACAGCTCTCGAATTACGCAGTCGATTAGTTAAAATAGCTAAATTAATTATAAATATAAATGAATTAGCTCTAATACGATCTACGTCTAATTAAACCGGAATGATTAATTATTTAGTTTCGGTGTGGTTCGGTTTAGTTAGGCCAATTAGTCCAATTGAAATATCTGTGTCGCGCTGATTTGAACATCATGTATTTTAGGACAAGACTTGATTATATTCGTGACTTAGATAAAATTTTGTATACTTTTACACTTTGCACAATTCTAAATTTATTTATATAGTCATGGGTACACTTTTATCTTTGATTTCTAATACACCAACTTAAAAAGAGTAGAAATTATTTTTTTTTTTTTAATCTTGTAAATGCTACTTGGTTGAAAGTAAATTATTGTAGTTATTTACTATTAAATTTTTTAAATATTATTATTATTTATATTAAACTTGAAACAACCTCTCACAAAACGCATTTTAATATGAAAACAATAAATTGATTTATTATACGGTCAAATAATGAGTTCTATAATACTCTATGCTATTAATATTTTGACTAAATCATTTAACGAACTTTTCTCAAAGAAGTAGATACATAATACAATTTATTTGTTATTAATTATTATATTGGTCTCATTTATTAAATCAACTCTTTTATTTCACAAATATGGTTATAGAAATTGATCGCATTTATTTCAATGTATTTACAAAATTTTATATAGGTTACAAAATTATTTATTTTTAATAACGAATTTGTATAATTTTGTTAAAATCTATCTAGCTAATACTAATTTAATTTAAGAGACTAGCAACTTGAAGTTTCAGTGCACACGAATCGTGCTCACGATGAATGTATATTATTTTTATTATAATTATAATATTATAGATATAATATATATTATAATTTTTGTGGTGTCTTAACGTGTACGAAGTCTTCTGAGTTCAGTCAAAATTCGACAAAAAGATATTTTGTAATTATGAAGTATTTTTGAACTTAGAATATTAGTTACCAACAAATGAATAAAACCTAATTAATTATTTGTTTAAGCTGAGATAGATATTATTCGACGGAGATCGACGGAGATATTATTTTAAACCAATTCGGTTTAAAATAATATCTCCGATCATAATACATCTTGTATTTTGAGGTAGAATATTTTACTGCAATTAGGTTGGTAACTGATTATGAGTTGCGTAATAAATTATAATAAATGAATTTACAGAGTTATTTGTAAAATACTGACAACCTCGCAGGACTATATTACTAACACCATAAACAACAAATTTTGTGCTAGAGTTTTTTACAAAACGTAATAAATTTACCAAATTCAACTTTCAACTTTTAGTTGTACTATCAGACAATTTTTAGATCTATATTTAGTGGTTGTTGTAGTAAGTTGAAACATGCAAGCTTCTATCCCCAACCCTGCTCCTGCGTTTTGCTTTGGACTGGGTTTTCACGCTAGCGCTTTCTTTTGAGAGTTATCACCGTTTAGAACGTTAAATATTTTTATTTTTGTACGAAAGTTAAATCTAATGAATTATGAGAAGTAGAACAAAAGTTGTTGTTTATGATGTATTTTATAAATAACCCTGTACATTGTAATACTGTTGCTGGATGAAATAACAAACTATTTCATAGTTTTAACCAGTTTGCTGGTATACAGTTATTATAAATTTTAATATTACGCTGTATATTATAAATTGCAACATATTTAAGTATCAGTTGAGATCAACCTTTTCCCAATTTTTGTTCTCAATGTAAATTAAAAAATTAGAATGAAACTACCTAAACTTGGTAAGTAAAACAATATGTGAATAAACATGATATTAAATTTTTAAAACAATGGTGCTTGGGGCAAATCGGACGATATGAAATATGTTTTGTAATATTTGTGTGAATGTGATAATTGTTCCAACCGGTTGAGTCCCTACATAATAACGAGAAAGATAAGTCTGCATGTTCCAAATCAGTTTTATTTCTATTTTCTCCCGTACTTTGTACATATAATCGCTGTGATTTTTTTAGGTAGATAAGCATCAGTCATTTGGTATGGTGGAATTATTTGCTTGTTGTTATTTAGGTAAGCAAAAGTAAAGTACTTAGACAATGATTGTAACTATACTAAATTGTAAAATACCGATGTTTTAATATTTTTAAGCACCGACTGTTCGCAACTCATTATTATAATTATTTATACTGAAAATTCTGTTTATATTTTTGTGTATTTGATTACATTCTATTGGCACTTGGTATATAAAAAAAATATTGGATGTTTTCTAAAATAAAACTGCGTTATTTATTTCTTACTTTATTCGTACAAAATGCGTAAATTTTAAAAAATATGTTTGTCTATATCTAATTACTAGACCAGTGGTCCATTCGGAGACTGGTCACTTATACAAAGTATACACAATAAAAGATCATACCACTAGAAACTTTAGGTAAAGTTACTACAAATCACATAGCTAGGCGTTCTTCTGGTATAACAATTGCGGAATTTATTTTCTAAAAGAGGAAAAAACGAGCCACCTCTTAATTTTGACAATTGTTATAAAATTGCAATGCCTAAATATTACAATCACATATCAAAATACACGATTATCAACATTCCTGGGATATCACATTATTAAGGGCAGTATTTTGGAATGTATTTGTTATTTCATAATCAATCAGGTGAAGTCAAGAAACTTTGCCTCAATTTGTTTTATAACTTTACAATATAAAATTAATCCCAAATTCGTCAAATGGATTAATTTTCTATTTTTCAATTAGTTCATATGGACGTTGTATTAAACTACTATACAAGTTATACCACTAAAGTTAAAAGTACTACAATGTTATAAATAGCATAAAAGGCGATAGGCACTGTGCGCCAGTCTAAAGGCTCATCAAGTTATAAATATTATTTTTTTTTAGCTAAATGATGTGTGTGTGCACTGGAAGCCACAGGGTGCACTACCAACGATGTGAAATAACTAATTTCGATCATGTGACGAAGGTGGAGTCTTCTCGTTTAGTCAAAATTATGATCACTAGTATGCTTCTTGTATGCCACAACCAAGGTGTGCGTCACAAACAAGTACTGCTGTTTCTATGCCTGTTATAATTTTATTGTAGAAATGTGTTACTCATGACAAATTCTCTTTTGATATTGATGCAAGTCTTAGTGCAAGCACAGTAATGATCTTGTTCTTATCATATCGATGGCAAAATTTAATGTTGGCTATCATGATGAAAGGCTTTGCCAATCGACGTAATGTAACTCCAGACGTATGGGATCGGAATGGTACGTCATGCGGAGAGGTTCTTTTCTCATATCCAATAAAATAGTGTGAGATAGCGTAAAGACGCGTGTATCAGATCAGTTTAAACAAGGTTCCCCATTATCATAATAATAATAAACATGATAATCTATCAACCAACGACTCATTAATTTCTACCATATACCACAGTGGTACACTGGTGACCTTGGAAGAACACTATCTGACTAACTACTGCAACCATTAAAAACTCCAGCAAGAAAAATACTGTCCGACTGGAAGAACACAGCCCGTTCAAACAGAAACACTACATGACTAAAGAACTAGTAGTACTATGTCTGCTGGAAGAAAGATTACCCAATTAAAAGAACTATGGACACTACGGTAAAACGAAGAAATGTTGCAGAAGAAACATTGCCGGAATAGAAGAATTGCAGGCAATGTGGTAAACTTACTAACTAAAAAATAATGTCAGCCTAGAGTGAAAAAGTCAACAAACCAACAGGTCAACTGTGCACATAGTCACAAACATCCAGTCCAGAAAAATCGTAATGATGCCCACCGCACTACAGCAAGAGAAAGCAGCTCATTTGAAATGGCAATAATCTCCCGGGTGCTAGAGTCCTGGAAAGACAAGCCATGCCAACAAAAACTTACCGTCATACAGAACAAATGCAGAAATGAAATAAATGTTCCTAATAAAATTAGTTAAATCACTGATGAAATTTTTAAAAAGCACTTGAGCACGGAACATTCTCCAAATGAATCCTGTGAAGGATTAGTAAGTTTAATGACAGCATAACAAATGCCGAGAGCAGCGTCGTCCCGCAACTTGAAACTTTGACATTCGAGTCATGAGCTATAACACACAAAGAAAATACCGCTGGCGCAGCATCCAATGGAATGTGTCTCGTTGATAGTGCAGTAATTAATAGCCTTAAAATAAATAAACAATTAGAAATAGAAGTTTACAGGGACCTTTCACATGGACTTTGGTGTTGCAGATGTTTAAGAGTAGAACCTAAGGATACCGAAAAGTATATTCACGGCGCAAGTTGATAGACTAATAAGACGAAGAAGTAATAAGCAGTCAATGCCAGTAACGAGAGTCAAATCATCAACCAGAATAATGAGGATACCGCATAAAGAAAAATTATGTCCATCAGTGACTCCTAAAAAGTAAATAGATAATGTCCATTATCGACATTTAAAATTTGAAGATATTAATGTTCGTCGGGGACGTAAGTATTAGAATAAAACGTCTATCGTCATCTCGCATATAAGAATAACTATGTCCATCATCGACATAAAATGTAAAATTATTACAAAATTAGGAAAATATAAAAAATGTATATATTAAAATATAAAGAGAATATGTCCATCATCATTCAAGTTAAATCCAAGTACAAATAATTTGATCTAATACTTTAAATAATGCGCCTATTTATACAATGCCAACTAACGCTTCATTTATTTTCTACTTTATACCACTGTATTTTGACATGTTTTCACATTGTATATCAATTTGTGTATACTCGTTAATACTATTAAAAACATTGAATTTTGTATACTTATCTAATATGCTTAATATTTGCAACTTCTAAAATTTGCACCTACTTATTGCGTTTGAAAATGCACCATATGGCCTCAGTGCCTACACACATGCTAATTGAGATTGATATAAATTCACAAACTTACAAATTATGACCTAATAATAAAGAGTATAATTTACAATATAAATGAATACATGAAATGTAAAAACCTGGCTAAAATGACTTGAATACTTTAATCAAGTTGTTTCAAATTCTGCAGCTAATTCATTCTTTACTTATCCATCCTTAGCGGTAACTTAAAAGCATGTAAGTAAACTGTATTTCCTTTAAATTTATAAGTAAAACCATTGATTATTTAGCTGCAATCATGGCCAAGGTCTTGAAATAAGTTTAAATACTCTAGTAACTAGTTATGGCAACTTACATGAGAACACAGTCACAGCACTGTAGGGTATAGTACAGGCACTTGATGCCACAGTCTTCGTCATCATTTGTTGTGTTAGACCTGACTTTATGAGGTGGAGGAGACCGTAGATAAACACTGTCTACTAAGTCACCTTTCTCTTTGTCACATGTGGCATTTGAAGTCTTACTTTTCTCGTTCTGTAAATAGGTCTTATCATCTTTTACTTCTTTGAAGTCTCCAGCTCCATCCTGGGGAAAAAAGTTCAGTGTCACAAGTTGATAATATACACAGAACGCACTTGTTTCAGAAATATAATAAAATTACATTGATTTCCTCTTTGTCATGCTTCACAAATTCTGACTGCTCTTGCTTTTCTTCAAGGTTGGCATTTTCTACATTTTTGTCCTGGAACCCTTCAACTGTGACAAGAGTGCCACTCACAGCGGTCGCTACAGACCCTTTTGGTCGCTCCAGGAGCAGGTTGCTATCTTCGTCGGTCTTCTTACTGTTCTGCTGGTGGGTCGAAGAATCGCCAGACATGCTTTGAAAGAAATGTAACACCTTAAAATACACGAACCAAAATGTCAAAGTTATAACTAGAGTGTAATACATTAATACGTTCGTAAAGTGGCGACCCCGTCAGCAAATACGAGAAGACGATACTGTCATACAGATTATATTTCCAACACTGACAATGCAGCTACACTGTCACAATTATTAATCAGAGAAAACAATAGTCAATAAAGCAACAACTACATCATCAAATTACATTGCAAACAAGAATATTACATTCACCTTACGAAAGCAGACGGTCGAACTTGTCCTTTAAAGTCTCTTTTTTGTTCTCCAGACAAGCAACGCCATGCGCTTATGATTGTCTCAAAATTATTGTTTTCTTGATGGTTTTCCTGCATATTTCGTTAATGAAAAAAACATAAAAAGTCACCAAAAAGTTTATCAATAAATTTATTTTTGCCCCTGTTCAATAAACAGTATGGTAAGAAAACGTTTCGTGAATATTATGTCGTAAATAATATACATAAACAAAAAAATTATTCACTTTATAAATTTTTTTAGATTAACTTGAAATAATCAAACAACGCTTGTAAAAAAATATAATAGTCCGGAACAAGCTCTGTGATCGTGATTGTGATGTTACCTCCTTGTTTACCTTTTGAGGTTCTTTTAAAGTAAGGTACTTCGACGTGACTTTTAGTAACAAGTATTTTATCGTACACGTACTTCTAACTCTTAGTGCGAACTTGCACTAGTGGCAAACAGATGGCGCTGTCACATGCAAGCTGCAAGCAAAGAAGGCGCAAATTCTAAAAATGATAAGCGCATATTTTCGATTTGCTTAAACTTTATTTGCAAAAAGGATTTTATTTGTATTTATTTTGTTGAACTGCTACAATATTAGTAATTGGTGATATGAAATATTAGTAATTGAACAGATTGATTATGGACTGCTCCGAAAATATAATCTGGCTAGAGATGGGCATTAAATGGACGAACTAGTCGAATCAACCGTTCACGTCCAATCGACGTTTCTACGGGTCTACCGTTCTTCGGTTAACTAGTAGAATTCGTAGACGGCTACACGGAGAGTCCACGCGTTAATCAACGCTCTGCGCCACGAGACGACGCGCGAACTCAGTCGAATTATACATAGACAAATTATTTTGAACTTTAAATTCAGTAAGTGTAAGTTGATATTTGAATATGTGCGACGAAGTAAGATAGGTCTGTTATGCTATTTATTATTGCAATAGTGCATTCAATACAGAAAAAGGATGACGGTGTAGTTAATTCGCTAGAGCGAGAGAGCGGCGTTGCGCCCGTTGTGGCGCAATGCCCTTGAATCTATCGGAATTAAACTCTATTGCAGTATGTTAAAAGCGTCGATAGTCGCGCTCATGTTAAACATTGGAAATAAATTAATTTCTAAAACAATAGTTCATATTCTCAAAAGTTACTTTAGTTGATTCAGTTAAACTCGTCTCACGAACGAAAACCAACTTAAGTTGAAAGATCGACTAGTCGACGAATTTAACTAGTTGACCGACTAGTTGATCGTCGACGATGGACGGTTGTGTTTCGTTAACGGAAAACGCGTCGACGACCCATCTCTAAATCTGGCCACTGTGAATGGTGAAATACTTACTGTTGCTTATAATTACGATGAATATGTAGAACAACGAAAATGATGCCAATAGCATCTATTTGATAAAATGTAAGTATCACTTGCTTCTATTAAGCTGATATCTAATATACTCCTAAGCTGATGATAATTCTACTTTCAGTATATCTACACGCATAATTAAATAAGTAAGAGTGATTTTCGTTGTAGTGCCGAAAAAAAAATTCAAAGTATGTTTATTACTTAGAATAATAACGCATAGAATGATAGTTTCATAAAAAACGAACTGTCACAAGTGAGGCAAAAATCTAATTCATGTAGGCGTAAGCAACTTGTAATTACGCTCGTCGGCACGCACACAAATATACAATTAATGATGCCATGGAATAACATTTCCCTCAAAAGTGGAAAAATTGTATCTTGCTTAACTCATCGTTAAGTTAGAGGTGCCTACAGATTTGCTCGATTTTGTCGATCGTTACTGTTGATCGACAACGTCAAGTGACAGGAATTTTCAAAAATTTGTTTTTGGTAATCTTTATGGAAATGGCATTTATATCTGAATACACGAAGGCGGACACGACTTTTCTCATTTCTAAATCCAAGATGGCGGACACGTCTTTTCGAATAAATGCAATATGAGAATCGTTTTCGAGGTATTCGAGGTGCTCATCACGAATATGGCATTTATTTCTAAATCCAAGATGGAGGACACGACTTTTGAAATAAATGCAATATGGGTATCATTTTCGAGGTATTTGGGGGTGCTCATTACGAACATGGCACTCATTTTTAAATCCAAGATGGCGGGCACGATTTTTCATATAATGGCAAGTTGGGGATCGTTTTCGAGGTATTTGGGGGTGCTCATTAGGAATATAGCACTTATTTCTAAATCCAAGATGGCGGACATGACTTTTCAAATAATAGCAAGTTGGGTGTCGTTTTCGAGGTATTTGGGGGTGCTCATTAAGAACATGGCACTAATTTCTAAATCCAAGATGGCGGGCACGATTTTTCGAATAATGGCAAGTTGGGTGTCGTATTCAAGGTATTAGGGGCTGCTCATTCCGAATATAGCACATATTTCTAAATCCAAGATGGCAAAGAATTAGAAGAAAAAGAATTAGAAGTCTTGTTCTCCATCTTGTATTCAGATATACATGCCATTTCCTTATGGTTTACCAAAAATACATTTTTTTAAATTGTTGTCAACCATCTTGGATTTACAAATTAATGCTACATTCGTAATAAGCACTCTAAAACTCTTCGAAAATGTCTATAATTTTCAATCGTTACTGTCGATCGACAATGTCGAGCAAATCTGTAGGTACCTTATTAAATACTACCCAATTCTTATTTAACTCATATATTATGAACAAAAACCTACAAGTGAGTTTAAGTGCGACTATCGAATTTGAATATATAAATAGCCTGATATTATCTGTGGGCATGTTTACATGAAAAGTACACGATAACAATTAAGAACCTGAACCTGAAAGTTATTTATACACGATTTTGGAGAACTGACGATGACTTTTTAGTCAGTGTTAGTTTCCTGAAATAATTTTAGTTAAGAACTGTTGAGTCTGGGCAAGACAATTTTTCTAAATGAGTGTATGATGAACAAGAATAATGATTTTTCACATGAAACTAATGAAGGCAAATACTAAATATATTTCGTAAAAATAGCTAACGTAAATTCCCTACAATGTTGTTGCGGCGGTGTACATTTGTAGAAATTTTGCAACCGTCGCGATATTGCCTATTCTCAAAAAAATATGTAATATAATTATTTTGAAACAGAATAGCAAAATGGGGAGAAAAAACCCGTTACTTTGCAACATTTTCGTATCTTGTTGCAACGAAATTAATTTTCTGTTTTAGTGAATATTTACATAAAAATACAAGTTGAAACGCGTGTGGAATGTGATGTTAGTGTCTATTTTATATTTTTAAACCCAATTACCGCACATTTCGTCATTTTTAGCAAAAATTTTTGAGCTGCTCGCGGTGCAACTTGGCCTTGAGCACTGACAGCCGGCTCGCTCGTGTAAGCCCATAGGGCGTCCTACAATTTGCCTGAGCGTGTGCGGGCTAGGTTTCTATGCGTTATTATTCTAAGGTTTATTAGTGTAGTTCATTGGTTGATGTTTTCATTTAACTTCTCTTGCTATTACAAGTACATTTAATACCAGTATGTACATAGACACGATTATTATGAATGTACCATACCATATTTGTATTTACATGTACATAAAATACTTGGTACTTGGTACTTGGTGCAACGGTGCGTACATAAAATACTTAATTCTTCATTGAAATTGTTTGGAATGTGTACATTTCAACGGCCTGTTGCGGCTGTCCGATGTCGAGGAGGCCTTTTTATCCTCCACAGATCGTGTTCAGCCAACCTCGTCGGCCGCTGCATGCTATGTCCACACAAGAAATTGGAACACAATAACGAACCACAGAGGTCGTTGACTCATTTTTGTAAGTCGATGTCTATAGCGTTTTGGGCTCATCAATATTAGTCAACAGTTTGTACGTAAGAGACCAATATAAACAAGCGATCCGTGGTGTAGACACAGTATTACATTAGTAACCAACACGAATTCAACTAAAATTTGTCCTCGCTATTCAGTAGATAATGTCATTACCTTGAATTGAGGCACATCTGTTTAAATATTTCGTTAAGCTAAGGTCTAAATTAAAAAAAAAAGTAAAAAATTAAAGTAAAAAAATATTTCACATAGCAGCGATTCAACCAGAAGTCAATAATTTGAGATAAGTACCTGTTCAATATAAAACAACAGAGCAAGGGCAATGAATTTTGCTTGCGTAATCTTTAGTATATTGGAACATCACCGTGTCTGGCGAATAATCATAAATATTTATCTACACAATATGAACGTAGTTAAGCAAAATGGATCCAATCCAAATTATTATTAAAAAAGTAAAGTCTAACAACAACATATAAAAACTAAAATAAATATCTCTGTAGTTACATGACATTATAAGTTTTGAAAATAAAACAAGAGTGAGAAATTTTTAAAAACTTTTAAACTTCAAACTGCCATATCTCGAAAGTGTCTGGATGTGCATTGGATCCTTTTTGTTTAACTACGTCTATATGATGTTGTGACCTTTACATTCTGTTAGGTGGAAGAATCAAGGACAATCATGTCATGATGAGTTTAAAGTCAGAAGTTCATTACTGGAATGAAATAAGGTATATCAATACCTTATTATGTTTCTACTTTGGTCTATTGGAATGGTAGTAAAGCGCGTTAGCAAACAGGCTAGTTATATTTTATTACGCAAAGTGCTCATTATAAAGTTAGTAAACATTAATACCTACACTATGAACTGATATAAAAATTTGAAAAAAACATAGGTATCTTGATAATACCTGTGAGATAAACAGGTAAGAAAACAAATGATATTGCAATGTAGGTAAGAAAATAGGTACCTACAAGTTCAAATACTTTATTATAACTGCAAAGTCTTTACGATAGTTATAGTAAATTACACAATTTTGGGTAAATGCAATGTAGGGAGTAGGAACTGACGTGACTCAACGAATCGATTTCACGTCCATAATTGAAAACTGATAAGGTTTCGTATGTAATTTGTGATTACAAAGGGCTTCCTTTGATCTTGTACGCACATCGTGTTAAATCGTGTGTTTTGGTTTAGTTAATCAAATATATTGTTGTTAAGTAGAAACTTACAGGTCTCGATAAGTGGTTGCTGATCTATTTTTCGATCTATCGTCGTGGTGGGAAACATGCACGTAGTCCTTCTTCTTATTACGACGCTTTGTGGGTATCCAAATAAAGCCAAAAGTAGTTGAATTCTTCTTTGGTGAGCTGTACGATGTTGATGGATAGCTTTTATTGGAACTGGAGGCGAAAACGCTGGAGTTAGTCCCTCCCAAAACCAACGGTGTGGAAGTTTTGTCTGGATTTTTACTACGGCTTGAGTAACTAGAAGTTTTGTCAGACGAATCTTTGTCATAATTAAAGGGTTTGTCATGTTTGGTGTCAGTTGACAAATAATTAGAGCTCTTCTCACTTTTGCCACTGGAACCCAAAAAACTAGGGCTTCTTCCTTGTTTACTCTCCGTCTGGTAACTGGGACTTTTGTAATTTTTACTGATGTTTAAAATACTGTGATCTACTGAATTTGAAGTTTTTGTATTTGTTCCGAAATAGTTAGAACTTTTATCACTGCTTTTCGAGACTGCTGGTATAAAGCTAGCAGTCCTTAGACCGGATGAGGTAGAGCTCTTGCTGCTGCTTTTACTAATGGACCCGAATCCGCTGGAGCTTTTCCCACCACTGCTGCTTTTGCTGCTCCCAAGTGAGCTGGAACTTTTGGACCCGAAGCCAGTCCCACTTTTTGTAGTGGAACCGGCCCCTGGTTTCTTAATAATGGGAGCCACGACGCTAACCTTCAAGAAATAAAATAAATTCACAGTGAAATCTATTGTTCTGAAATTTTACGGTAAACACAATAAATAAACAATACCTACATTTACAAGGGTACTAAGTAAACAATTAAGGTAATCGTACTCCACGCTATTCGACTTGTCAATTTTAATGCGATTCGCTTTCTTTTATTTTTGTAACCAAGAGACGCAGTGAGATCTATGTCGTCATCTACCTTTATAAATTGTACGTCAGTTGGATCGCAGTAAACAAGTAGGGAAGTACATTTTAACCCTGGTGACCCTGCTATCTGTTAAGAGTTTGTCGTAAAAACACTTTAGCTACAACTTACGTGTATAAACTTTTTGGCGCTATCTCACCAAAACCTCTGTTCCATGAATTAAATAAAGTTATGGCTGTTTAGATATCCAGTGTAAATAAAAGTATCACTTTTTTTCACTGTATTGTTGTTATTGAGGCTTCATAGCAATTAATATTTGCGTAAGCGTGCGCGCGAGTGTTCGAACGGTGTATAACTGGCTTGGTAGAGTAGCACGCGGCACCTACACATACCAACTGGCTGGCACGATCACGAACAACTTTCGCAATATACGAATGTGCAATTATTATTCGAGTTTGCTGACGTCAGGATTTAAAAGTAATAATGACCGTGTTTGTGAGGTTTATTAGAGTCCAAATATGGGTCGGTGTGGATTAAGATGATCCATCCTTGGTGCTGATGTTCAAGAGAACTGAGCTAGTATGCATGGGTACGCTGCCTTTGAAGTCTATATAACAATAAGAATTTCGTAACACATCAGGGTTTGTGCAGCGCGTAAGAGCTGCTAAAACTGTCTCTGAGGCCGAACGGTTACCATGCTGGACGACAGTCCAGCATAGTAACCGTGCGTGACAACGCAGAAGTCTCAGGTTCGATTCCCGGGTCGGGAGAAATATTTTTGTGGCCTACATTTACTTCTTTCGTGAGTTTGGGTATAATTTGTGGTTGTATAATACGTATGTGTGCGTGAATGGCACCTGCGATACAGGATTTCTCTAATGAATGTGTGCGTTATAATAATAATAATTATTATTATAACAGTATTGGCACAAGGCTACTTTTAAATACATGAAACTTCATAACACTGAATTCCTAGCAACAATGTTTTTTGTTATTTTACTTGCCATAAAAATATAAATAACTGCCCTAGTAAATGAGTTAATTTGTTGCTCGTGTATTTAAAAAAACTTTCAAAATATAATAAAATCACTAAGTTAGCAACACCACGTATTAATATTTTTTGTGAGACAGTCCGTCGTCTATATTACTGGATCCTTTGGGTTTACGCGTCTACTTATAAATATAGTTTTTAATACAATCAAGCAAAGACTATTAATAAGAATAGGTTTGCTCATTGCCTTGTTACTACTACCAGACGTGTGATGCTACTTTGTTTCAAGTTTTATATATTAGGTACGTTTTTATCATACCTTTGTTAGTACGCACTCTTTTGCCGTAACTTATAGTAGAAAGAAGTTGTTCTATGCAAATTTTAGCAATTATTATTTCTATTATGTGCGGGAAGTAACAAAATCATTTACCGAGTTGAATTCCCACCAGAGAACCATAAGGGTTTCGACATTATTCGCAGTATAGTTTACGTTCCCTTTCATGGACAGTATTTAGAATGGTTACTCACGGCGACGTATAGCAGCGCAAACGCGCGACTGCGTCGAAATAAACGCGCGATTGCGTCGATGCAATCGCCTATAAATCCTAAGTGTAGCGATGCAATCGCAGGTCTGTATCAATGCAGTCGCGCGCTGGCTTTGCGTTTGCATCGCTGCCTAAAATCGCGCAATTGTGTAAATGTAGATGTATAACGACTGCATCGCGTTTGCATCGCTGCTAAAAGTCGCCGTGTCACCGCTCTTAAATAGTTCCACACAAAAAATGACAAATTTATTGCCGTACTGCTTATATAAATTCAATATAAAATGTATCATTGAACAATCATTGATCTTTATCAGTACGTTGATGATACTTCAGTATGGAAAAGTATTAGGCGGCAACTACACAGAACGCACTGAACGAACGGAGAGCGTATTCAAAAGTCCGTAGTTGGTTTTTTGAAATCCTTATACCGAAACGGGATACCCCGTACTATCACATTCTGGCATTTAATTTTACGATAAACGCTGTTACTGTTCGTAAAAAATTTGAAGAAAATGTTCCCCCTGGAAGGCTGACAAATTAGGGGATGCATTTATTGAATTTCACCTACTTTCCGTTAACCGATATCAATAAAACTTGGCAAATAGATATAATTCCACGAATTTTTGCGGTCGGTTTTTTTTTATACAAAACACACAGTTATGTACAAATGTAGAAACTGAAGTAAGTAGGTATTATCGTATATAATGATCCGAAACCTGACCAAGTTTAAACGTGTTAAGTTGCTATTGGTGTGAGTCGCGAGAATTCTCTGTTAAGGAAAAGTCATACCTACGGTTATCTCGCATATGACTGGTTAAAGTGGTTGTCCTCACTGGCGTTGATAATATACAATATATTTATTTTATACCTACGTGCATTATTCTGTAATGTAATTTATAACTACCCAATGATCTTATATACAAAAAAAAGGTAACTACCAGTAATACTATTACTAAACACGAGATTGGTAAGTAGGTATAGATATTTTTAACTAATAATTTTTATGAAATGCTTATCCCCCCTACAATTCTTTTTCATTATGGTTTCCAATACATTTTTTTTTCTACGATCATCGCAATTGCCTTCCAATGGAGTAGGCACAGATCAAAGACTTTTACCACGAATCGAGACTGGAATATTTCTTTCGATTAGCCTTTCTCACCAAGACTCAGTTTTCGGAGTACTTTTGAACTTTTGATGTGGCATAGCTACGGACTGTACGGAATCAATCTGGATGGTGAATGTACACACACACCAACACCTTTAGTGGAACACTAGTTGAATCCCCATAATACTGCAGTGTTTTTTCTAAAGTATGGTATGGTTACTTTACTTTACGTCTAAAAAAACTGGAAAAGAAAATAGTCGACAGTTTTTGTAGCAGCAGAGCTCCTTGTGAAAGAATTCGTCCAGGAAAATACTGCCACCTTACCTATTTCTACTACCAAGCAAATTTGTATGCATTACTGCGTTTTGGTTTTGAAGTGTAAGGGTGCTGGTGAATTTTTTTTAAATATCAAGTGACAGGACGAACAAGTTGTGCGCTTGTTGGTAAGCGACACGCCTATTCATAACAGTTGCAGTGCCACCAGAGCTTTAAACCGCAAAGATCTTTGGGGCACAGTCACTGCACCCGTCACCCTGCGACGTAAGTTGAGAAGTCCTATGTGCCTGTAATTTCACCAGTACGGAGGGGTAAGGTTCCGAACGGGAACGCAGTAAACGCTGCTCACATTACTGCTTCGCGGCAGAAATAGGTAAGGTGGCAGTACTTCCCTGGACGAACTCTTTCACAAGGAGCTCTGTTGCTATAGAACTGAAATTACAGGCACATGGACTTGTTAACTTGTGTTTCAGGATGACGGGCGCAGTAGCAGTATTCTTGCAATTGAACGGTCTGAGTGGTACTGCAACTACAAAGGCGCACGAGTTGTCCCCGTCACTTAGTATCATAAAAAAGAGAAGTTTTTTTACATAGGTTTGTTGAGTGGTTCGAGATTGAGTTAGTGATTTTGTAAATTTCGTAAACTTTAGTTGATTTTTTTATTATGATTTAATCAGTATTAAACTAAAAAGTCTACGACTGTCTGCGTGGTTTTTCAACGACTAAAAAGTCGTTGAAAAACTAAATACAAAGACACGACGCAAGCACATAGAAAAATTTGTTGGGTCGGTTGGTTCGTTCCGTGGCTTAGTTGGTATAGCGTCTGGCATGGTGTGCAAGAAGACGGCGGGCGGTTCGAATCCGACCGGATCGAAGGAATTTTTTCTGAGTGTTCGATCTTTGTATTAATGATTACAGTATTAAACTGTTATTAATTTTTTTTAATGTTTAACCTGTTTCTGCTTTGTTGCAAAATCTAAAAAAATGCGTTTTGTTTAATTTCATTTTTTTCAATAAATGTTGTGCAAGGCTGTACTCCGTCGATGATAAAAGATATTAATATAATTTATATTTAATATCAATTTTTTATTTGTTTACGAATTTATATTCTCATTTTTTTTGTACCGCTAAATTTGCCGGTATGTGTATATTTATATAGCAACATTTTGCATATTATTCGTACTAAAGTCCTCAGCTAATGAATCTCACTGAAGAGGAGGATTTATCGTAAATGTTAGTGTGCAGGGTTGTTGGTAATCATTGCAGAGCTGTGCATTGCAATCTGCCAATATAATGGAATCAGACATCAGATCGAATTAAGGTTAAATGCTACAAGCTTCGTTTATTCTGTTAATAAAGGTGTTATTAAAGCAATTGGTCGGTTATTAGAGGTCACGCGTCAAGTTTGCCGTTTCATTGTGCACCTCGGACATAATTGTATGTGACGTAGAAGTTGTTTAGTCGCTACTAAACAACTTCTATGTTTGCCACTGCAAACTGAGGCGTCGGTATAAACTTACCGCTTTACATAGTTTCTCATTTTATTGAAAGTTACTGGCCATTACCATTAAGACTAGCCAGTCTTAATGGTTAATTCTTACTATAAAACAAATTAGGGACACCAACATTTGGCGGTCGTAACACAATAATGCTCTCTCTGGCCACACAGAAGAGGCCGCGGAAGCTTACCCAGCACGCGTCTGCCGTGCGTTTCAGTGTGGCAGGGTTCATAATAATATGAACTATAATAATAGGAATGCTTCCGCGGCCGCTTCTGAGCATAAATTTGACAGTCCGTGTTGCATGTGCGTGGTTACTAAACCAGCAATGATCTGACCTCAGCCTTGAATGAGCTGGGAACGTGTTATGATGCAAACGGTCTCAGGCCCAACCCATCAAAACGTGCGCTTTCCATCTGCACAACTATCAGGCCAACCGAACTCTGAGTATCACCTGGCAAGGAGTCAAAATCCAACACGATTGTTTTCCTAAATATCTGGTGATAATGCTGGACAGATCACTCACCTTCAAACCGCACTGTCAAAAGAACAAAATGAAGGTCAGCTCAGTCAATAACCTCCTTCGACGTCTAACATCCCCCAATAGGGAAGCAGCGCTAGATGTCCTACGAACTACAGGTTTAGCATTGTGTTTCTCGGCTGGTGAATACGCGTGTGGCAAAGGTCTGCACATGCTGGACTTGATGACGTAGCGCTTAATGAAACAGTACGCCTGATCACCGGCTGTCTCAAGACAACTCCCCTTAATATGGTATATCCTCTAGCAGGTATTGGAGCACCATACGTGTGTCGGGATGTAGTATGCTCCGTGGTGAAGTACAAACAAGAGAGTGACAGTCGACACCCTTTATAATAATAATAATAATAATAATAATAAACCATTTATTTCAGGCCATAGCCCATAAGATAATGGTGTTAGTTACAAAAGAAAACCTTAGAACTATGTTAGTATGATTACATTGAATTTTGAAATATTGACAGAAAAAAATATTAAAATTTGGAAAATGCACAATTATTACTTAATTTGACCAATTGTAATGGTTACCCAAAACTTTAAAATTGTACAGTCAAAACGATGGGCAAACATCCTCAGGATTGCCACTGTCACGCACTCGCTTTAGCAGAGACACACATTTTAACAGAGAGACACATTTTTACGCCTAATGGCATAAACGTCATCTGTTCGCGCTTCAGCAAACATGCACTGCAGTGCCGTGGCAGTCCCAACAGCATCCTGAAGATGTTATTGTATTGTACTGCAATTTATACGGCCGGCGGCCGCCAAATGCCCCGAGCTCGCCTTAAAAGCCGTAAAAATTTCTTGCGCACCACAGAGACTACGAGTGACCATCCAACTGTCACTATGTGTGCATTGTGGAAACGGTAAAATGCCCCACCACCTACCTGGTTTCATCGTACCTCAAAAGCAACTACCACCAGGTTGCGACCTGCGGTGGCCCGTGTGGAAGTTCTTACATAAGCCTTCGCACTCAGGTAGGACGCTGCATAGACACGATGTGTAAATGAGGACCGTATTGACCGTATTACTAATTCCGAAGAATGTACCCAGGTCTCAAAATTAACTAGGTACATATCATTATTGTTATTAGGAATGTTGAGACTGATTATTAAGAAGACTGGTTATGGTTCAACAAGAAACAGCAAGGCACAAGTCACATTTAACTTTCTAAATCTTCCTCAGTTAAGGCTCTACATGTATGTGGTTACTGAAAAATGTTAATTTCCCTTAGGACGGTTACACAATGCTCACATAAATTTAAAATAAAGTGAAAATGTTACCCTTCATTGTATTGAAAAGACCTGTAACCACATACTGCCCTTTCATCTTATTATTACACTAACGTTTACAATAATGTAATGATGCTTAGTTACAAAGGCACGTGTGGTTACTTGCGCCCATCTCATCTACTAATATTTTTTTACTAAGTGCAATTGTGAGGCGTAAGACGAGTCCATGGTTGCTGTTAAAAAGAGGGACGTTGGTTTCTGCTTTTTCAGCTA